GGGGAGTGTTCAGTAAGAAAAGCATCAGCAGCCCCAATGATAAGCTGCTCTCCCTCTGCCTTCCAGCACCATGGATCTGCCATCACCTCTTCGCACCATGTCATCTCTCAGTCCTGCTTTGGAAAAAGGTGCTTTGGGATGAAAACCTGTATTGAAAGCTGTAAGCTTTCCTACCAGCAAACATTCTGGATGCCTGAGAGGTGACTGCTTGGCTCAGCCCCTGAAAATTGAGATGCAAACCTGAAGTGCATTACACCCCTCCAGGGAGGGGTTTCACACTTGGAAAGCTTTGTGAGGTTTCCAGCATCTGCTGCTTCCAGTCAGGCTGGAATCCAAAAGTGCAAAGGCCCATGAAAGTGATTAATAAAGAACAAAAACCAGACCCTGAAACAGGTTCAGCTCTGTGACTCCTCTGAAACTGTAAGTGCACTCTCTGCTGACTTACAGAAGTCTTGTGCTTTACTGGGGTATTTTTGAAAACTTGCCCTTCAAACAAGGTCCAACCCTGGATGCTGTTTTTGTAAGGGTTAAGAGCACCTACAGGTATAAATTGCATGGTGCCCATCGACATGAGTGGGTTATATACGTTCATGTGGCTGCAGAGCCTGGCCCAGGTAATTCAGTGGAAGTGAGTGGAATTTACTTGCATGGGCAGGTGCTTCTGTACATGCACTGCTTTTTGGGACCAGTGGCTTTTTGACTGTGTTTTGTGTTGGTGCTTGGAGGGGTTTGGGGCAGGCAAGGCTGTTTCCTGCTGAAGGCAAGAAGCAATTTGGATCTGTCTGCAATGTGCATAAGGAAAGGCTGCTCAGGCAAAGGCTCTCCTAGAGTCTATGTAGCTGTTGCTAGTAGTTAAAGCTGCTGGATTTGTCTAGGCCAGGTGATTTACAGGGAAGGGATTTGCCTGCCCTTTACTGCCTCTATAGTTGAGGCACCTGTTTGGATACCAGCACTATATTTCTTGGGGTAAATGAAACCCATCTGGGTTTGGTTTGATTGCGCCTTCTGTTGTCTCCTGCCCCATAGAAACTCTGGGCTGATTCTTGCCTTGCTCCACGCTGAGTCCCGGGGCCTTATCTCTGCTTTGCACTGGCTGGGGAGGACTCGGGTCCTATCAGTGGTGCCGCAGGCCCAGCCCCACCTGGACCAGCAGCCTGAAATCCCACCAGCATCCTGCCTTCCCTCTTCAGAGCATGGCTGCTCTCTGGCTTTTTCCATTTGTTGTTCAGGTGGCGTTTCCCAGGCTTGCTCTGCGGTCTGGTTTGTGCCGACGGGTCGCTGCCCTTGAGCTGGATCAGACAGAGGTCTCAGCCCAGCGCTGCTGCAGCTGACCCTTAACCGCAGAGGAAAGCGGCGTGGAAGAACCTACCCCTGTTCTCAGAGAAAGGAGGCTGGATGAGGACAGACCTTACAACCTGTAGCAGTGGTTGCTTTCCCAGAGGACTGAATTCCTGGTCCCCACTGTTTGTTCAGGCTAAGCTTCTTGCCAGGGGTCATTTCTGCGGTCCTTTCACCAACATGCACAAGTGATTATGCTCTGTAAGAGCCGTTTTCAGGCTGTAGTGCTGATGGAACAAGAGCTATGTGTGTTCCCTCCCCATGCACTGATGATTTTGCTGCCTGCAGTGCTCCCAGAAGTGAGGCGAGGTTTGTAGGAAGCAATCTCTCTTGTTAGATTAGCCCTTAGATTTCAGACAAAACAGACAAGCCGTTCTTCAGGCTAACAGCCTGTCTGTTTTTCTTTTTTCCCAGTTTGTATCAGCCCTGGTTTTCCCATCTTTATCCGTGCATTGCATGGAACTAGCTGATAAAAGACATGTGCCGCGCTGTCCAATGCTGAGATGCTGCCTGGGTTTGGCAGCAACCTGTGATCTGGTTGAGTTCAACTGTAACCTGCCTCTCTCTGCAGGCCCCTTGTGTGCAGATGATCAACGTTGGATGGGCTCTGCCCATCCATCCTCCATCAGCCAGCTGCCTACAAAGGCACGATTGCCTCTTCTCCTGCTATGGAGCATCTCTGGAGGTGCCTTTCTCAGGCAGCTCATGGGAACTGGGGTCAAATACAGCCCCCTTCCCATCCCCATCCCTGGCTGCAACAGCTGGGATTGTTTCTCTGCAAGTCTAATATGGGTAAGTCGTATATCACAGGGGTGAAATTACGGCTTTTTCTCTATTGCCAGACATTTGGAAGCATCTGGTTAGATAGAGAAGTACCTAACGTGGATAAATCATGTTTAAAAAGCTTGTAAATTTTCTACTGTTTGTTGTTTGTTGTTTTTTTTTTTAAATACATGTTTTATTCTATTTTTATTTGTGCTTCCACCTCCTGGAGCATCTCCCAGCTGGCTGTGGAGGAGTGGTTGTCAGGGAAAGCACTGGATGCTCTGCTGGGAAGACAAGGAAGTAGCAGAAGAGCTCTGAATTCAGTTTTATACCTCGTCAACTTGGGACTGCCTTTAAAAGCTGGATTTTCAACTAAAATGGGTTTCCTTTTACTCTTTTGGCAAAAGAAACATTTTTCATGGGGCTTTTCTCAAAGCATATGTTCTCTTCGTTTAAAAACTGGCTTTTTAAGCTCTGCTTTATAACTGTGTCATATACCGGTGCTTATATAGTAATTCCCTGCTCCGTTCTTATGGCAGGATACTCTTTCCAATTGCATACATCTTTGTCAGGCTTTGCCTTTTGGGACTGGAGTTTTCCACCTGAGGTGTCTGCCTTGGAGTCAGGTTTTCAAGGGAAATATCAGCTTGGAGTGACCCAGGCATTTCTAAGAATAAGACAGTGGAAAATCAGACAAAATTGTCTGCATTAAATCAAGCCTGGCTCTCTCCTGTGGAAAAGGTGTGGGGGGAAAAATGCAGCATACTTTGGAGCAGCTGCTTTGAAATGAGATGGTGCTGGAGGAGGGGACGGGAGAGGAGGTAAGGGTCTGTGCATTGGTGCTGTGGTTTCTGTGTATCTCTCCAAACCTGACCAAAACAATCTGGAGTGCTTGGGGAAGACCTGCTAGAGTTTGTCAGCTGACTGCACCTGTAGGTCATGTTTCACTTTACTAAGATCTCCCTCGTACCCAGGATTACAGAGCAGAGCTGTCCTTTGTGCAGCTCCAAGGGCTTTGGTCTGAGACAGGTAGATGGCTTGCCCTTGGAGGAACTGGATATTCTTTAGGTAGCTTCCAGTGGGATGGAAAGCATCAAAGTGCAGCAGAGAATGGGCCTCTGGGCCACCTCCAGCCTGGGTCTGGGGTTTGGAACTAGATGATTTTTAAAGTTCCTTCCAACCCAACCCATTCTGTGATTCTATAATTTGCAGTCTGGGAAGGGGTGGGCAACCTTCCTCTGCCTTGGTGCCTCTTGTTATCACCTCACTGCTAAGCCAGACTGTTCTGCATTTGCAAGCCGGATACTTTGCTCTGCCAGCAACTTGTTTTTTTGGGTTCATTTTGCTTGGCATCGTGGAGGAGGGTTCACATTGTTGTTTATTGGAGACTCCATCCCATACTGCAGGGATCCTGCAGTGTGTGTGTGAAATGACCACGAATCAGTCAAGTGCAAGGACAGAGATGGCTGAGCTGGGAATCAAACTGCATTTCTGGGCGTGTGATCTGCTGTGTGTGACCAGGGTTGAGTCAGATGTAAACCATGAGCTTGCTCAGCAGTAAGCAGGGCTGAATTGAAGTTTTACATGCACTCAGGAGACTCGATGTGTGCAGCCCTTCGCTGCACTTGTCTCCAGGATGCAGGCGGGTGGCCAGGCACAACCCAGCTGCACTCCCTTCTGTGTCCAGAGGAGATGCTGAGGGAGCAACAGCCACGGGATGTGTCCTCCAGATCCTCTGAGGACTCAGCCACACCACCTTGCAAGTGGAAAGCTGGAATTGCCCACCACATTTCACAGCTGGGTGCTTGCTTAAATGGGCCAAATCTCCATTCTCCATGGCTCTGTTCTTGTTTCCTACGGAACTGCTGTCCTCCTCTCCAGTGTTGCCCCAGCTCTTCCATCTTCAGTAGCAGCAGCATTAAGGGAGAAAGACTGCCTGGCATGCAATGGGCTGGCTCTTCTGCCGAAAGAAAGACAAAGAAAGGCATTTTGCCCTCCAGAGAAACCCAGAAAGTGGAGATAGTCAAAGTTAAAAGAAAAAAAAAATCATGTTTACATGATCTAGAGCCCTGGCCCGTTGTCTGTTGGCTGATGGGCAATTAAACTCTCCAAACACGTTGTCTGCCTGCCTATGATAAGATAGGAGGGTGTGAGCAGAGTGTTATGGATAGCTTCTGGACGCGCGGTGTCCTGGGGATTTGTGCTGGGGAATGGCGCAACGGGAGATCTCCCCTGGAACACCCTTTATGTTCAGTTCACAACTGATTTGCTCCAAACAAACGACGAAGTGCATGATCTGCATGAGAAAAGCTTGCAAAGAGACAGGGGCTCAGCTGTGAGATCCCATACCATAACGCGTGTGTGCGTATGGTAGCTGGGTGGGCTTGGAAAGGCCTTTCTGGCTAAAGTCCATCTTCCAGGGAGAGCACAAGAGGCAGCTGACTCTATGGGTATGGTAGCTGAAACATAAAAACTTGCTGGACCTGCAACTCACTGAGCTGTGGTATCTGCAGGGTTTTGCCTCAGAATTCTTCTATCTTGGAGTAGAGAGCGGTTTGGCCATGCCTGCAAAAAGCCTATCTTGCTTCTTGGAAATCTTTAAGTGGAGGGTATTGCTTGGCTGAGTATTTAGCCCAGGCAGATTAGGGAGAGGCAGGAAGAGCTTCTGACTGTGCCATATCTGTAGCATAGGTGTTAAAGATGTATTTGTGAGCCAGTCAGAGAAGAATGCTGAGGAAATCCTGTTTGGGTTAATCTTGTTTAATTTTACAATCAAAAACATATGGCTGGCCATCTGGTGCTTCTTGCAATCAAATATCTCACAATTAACAGTAATTTACTTGCCCTGAGACTTCCAGGATCTTTACATGTGCTTTTTTTTCTCCATCCCTAGTACGTGTGGTCCCCTCCTGGAGCACTGCTGGGTGTAAGCTGAGCCCTGGAGCTGTCTGTAGGAGGCTGTGGTGGAGAGAGGTGCAGGGATCCCAGGGGCATCTGATTTCCTGCTGCACCTTCTGCTCACACCCCCAAGAACTTCTGCCTTTCAGACCCCCCAGGAACCACATGCAGGGTAAGCCAAGTGGACTGCTGCGCATACCTGCACACGTGTTGTTGCACAGAGAAATGAGGCTGCAGTTAAGGGGAATATACTAATTACACATCTACATTTTCCACCAGGCTAAGGGATTTCTATAGACCTCTAAATGATTATAGGCAAAGTGGGTTTTCTGTGGCAGTTTAAATTACTGAATGTAATTAAACAAGATGCGGATGATCCTCTGCTTTCTGGGGAATTAGAAGTGAAATGGGATGCAGACTAAGACCCAGCAGGCAAATACACCATTTTCCTGTGCATTCTTTCATCCAATTTAAGGGCACCCAGGATGCACCACAGTTGAAGCTGCGAGGTCTGACAGTTCAGTAGGATCACAGATTGCCCCAAGTTGGAAAGGACCCATTGAATCCAACTCATGCCTCCACTGGGACCTGCACAACCAGACAGCATGTTGCTGGCTCATCTTGGTTTAACCTAAGGATAAATTTGGGCCTTTTTAACTTGCGGTCTAACAGAGATGCTTTCTATTTTTGCTAACAGAATTTGTGGAAAGGAGGTGGAAGTATCCTGCCCTTCAGGAATGATGGGAGCCATCTCTGTGAGGTAATGCTGAATTGTCAGGTGATGCTGTTGAAAATGGTGAAATACCAGTCTGCTGCTTCAGGTTCTTTATTTTCAGAGGTGACACTGGACTCCTCAATAACTTCAGGTCTCTTTTGAATACGTTCTTGCCTGTTCACTGCTGTGGCTTAATAGTATGAATAGAGAACAGGAATAAATGAATTCCAGATGAGAGATCTGCATACCAGCAGGCAAGGGCTCTCCCGGGCATTCCTATGTGATTGCTAGCTCTGTTTACTATCCTAATATTTTTTTGCTAGCAGATGAGGAAAAAATAATTGAGCTCCTTCACTCCTCCTCCACGAAATCACTGGCTTCATATGCATTCACTGGCATTCATATGCTTTATATCCATATGGTGCTCGTGTAATTGGTGAATGGAGCAAAAAAAGATGCGTTCAGGTATGAGGGTAGGTTAGAGTGCTGTTACACTCCATTCTCCAGATTGTTTATTGAAATAGAGAGGAGCCTTCTGAAGGGCAAGAGCACATTTTAGCAGGGCTCCCAAAGGGGACTTGCCATCGATTCGATGTGCACAGCTAAGAGGTATAGAGTTTCATGGTGCTCCAGCAGCTGAGTTATCAGATCTCAAAGGTACAGAGTAGGTTTGACATTCACCCAGAGCAGCTCACCGTCCAGTCTAGATAGTGACAGTTAGAAAAACAAAGTGATTAGTGGAGTACCATGGACACACAGGTCAATAAAATGGTTATTATTACAACAGTGGAAAAATGCTGAGTCTTGTGGGTCAGTACATGTGTTTGTGGACGTTTCTAGGCAAATGCTGTTGAGTCTTGCACAGAATGCATTTTGGAATTTCTTCACTCTGATCCCCCCTTTTCCTCTTTCCTTGCAGAGCCACAGCAATCTCTTTTGTCTCTCAGTGCAAGCTGATTTTTGTTTCTTTTTCCCAGAGTGCAGCCTGTGTCTTTATTCTGTTTTCCAGAAGAAGAAGAATGGGTGACCCAACAATTAGGACCTCATGGATAGCCCAACAGTTAGGACCTAATGGATGACCCAATGATTAGGATCTAGGGCATCTGGCTGGTGAGGAGCTCCCTTGGTAGGAGCTCTCCTCTTTCAGGGGTGTGTGCAGTATGTCACTCAGGATGTGATTGCAAGGGCTGGTAGCTTTGGCCAGAGCTCTGCTCAAGGTCAGGTTTGCCCACCCTTTGACACTGTTTAGAAGGAACTGTGCCACCGTCCCTGCCAAGCAGAGGGAAGTCAAGAGGCACTGGGGACAAATAAAGGACAACGAATCAGCCATGCCACAAAGTGAACCTTGTTCTTTAGGAGAGCTGGGTTTCGCCAGCACAATAGCTAGATTACACAGCCATTTCCTCCAATTACCTTCTCTGTCAAATCTCTGTGTCATCTGGCACTAGGAAAGTTTGGTTTCAAATTCATTGTGAATCAGGGCAGTGACACCAGAGATTTCTAAATTAATATCCTGCCAACAGGAATTGAGCTTGTTTTTTCCAGTCGTGTCAGTTCTGATTCTATTGCTTGTCAGAGAAAACTTTGGCTTGCCATCTGGTTTCAGGGGCACGGGTTAAGGAAATCTTGTGTTGCTCAACCCAGCACTGTGTGCTTGTCCCATGTCTTCCTCTCTTCGTTTCTGTTCTCACTGTCAGTGTGTAGATGTGGGATGTCTTCCAAGGAGCTATTGGTAGTTTACCTGCAGCCAAGGGGCAGATTTGCCCTGGCAGCTTGATGAAATCTTCATGAAGCTCATCCTTCCCTCCTCCCTGGCTGAATGACACTTTGGTTGAGGAGATGTTGTGCACTATGGTCCTACGTTAAAGCAGCTCCTTGTCTTGCCTAGCAAAGCAGTTCTGAGTTAACCAAAGGGGTTGTTATGGCCTGTGAGTAGCAGTGGTGCCTGCCTCCTCTTCCTGCTCACAGTTGTGTGGCAATACAAGAAGAATGGCTAAGACCAACAAGGGGGCTTTCAGTGGGGTATCGAGGCTGCAGGGGCTGATGTAGTATTATTGCTTTCATTAGGTGTCCAGAAGATATGAAAGTGATGCTGCACATCCTGGAGCTGGCCTGGTGGAGCTGAAAGCAGATGGATGGATGGACCCAGCCCTCTGATTCGTGGCAGTGAGGCTGTGCATTGTACGTGGAACCACTCACGTGATTCCTGTCGAGCCAAAATATTCTTTCAGAAAGAGCATTGACCAGATGCCTTATTATTGCTGCTCACAATGCTGTCCTCAGAGTACAACAATCCATCACGGAGCTCGGCGCAGCCCTACAGAAAAGTCCCTGACACATTTTTACAGAAGGGCCAGGTTCTCACCACTTGTGTGCATTTGTATCCCTTGACAAATAGCTGTTTGACTTCAGTTTTGTTCCAAGTCAGCGGTGTCAAGCACAGGGCTCCTATTCAAGTGCCCACCAATGGTGATGCACAACTCCCTGCTTCCTCTTCTTTTCTTGCTTTGTTTCCCTGTGACAGTCACTTTTTTTTTTCCCTTCTCCTCACATATCTCATAGGTTTGCTTTAAAGATAGTTTTAAAGGATATATTTGCAGCAAAAAAGTGCTCTTGATAAGAACTGTAAAAATGGCTCAGGACTAGAAGTGATGGGGAATTGCCATTTGCATAGGTTGCTGATATGACACTTGATTATTTTCTGGTAATTTTTCCAAGTTGATTAGCACACTGGCTAGCAAAGCCCTGGGTGTGTTGAGAAATACTTTGGTTTGGCTTGTGCTCAATGCATGGCTCCTCTTGAAACCGAGAGGTGTGTTCCTAAGTGCTCTGAGCACCTCGGACGTGTGGTAGAATTATTATTACCAGGTTATGAGCCGTGCTGTGTGTCCTTCTGTATCAGCTTTTTAGGCAAGATGTTGGCTTTAAATTGCTTTCTGAGTTAAATGTATCCCTGAGATTGCCTGTAAGGAGCAGACTCCAGCTGTGTCATGTGCTGTGTGAACTTACAGAATAACTGTGTCCCTCTGTTTCAGGTGTATTGAGAGCGTGGTGACCGAGAGATGTACAGAAAGCCAAGCTGGGAGTGGAAGCACAGCCACAAATGTGTGTGCACAGGTAAGGGGTGTCTGAACATCACCTCCTTCAGAGGAATCCAATTCATTATTTGAGTGTCCCACTCTTGAAGTTGTCTCAGTGGAGCTCCCAGAGTAGGGATGAAGTCCACACGCAGCAGTGTATGCAGTCCTGGCTGTGTAATGCCAACGTGACTTCTGCTGGTTGTTAAATGTTTTGTTTTATAAACGAGGAGTCTTTCGTCTTCTCCAGACTGTGACTTTCTGTCATACTTTTCCCTCTGACTTCAGCCAGTAATTTGTGTTGCTCACAGAGCATTTTCCATCACATGAGCCTGAAATGGAAGGGGATTTATGGAATGGAGAGCATGAGGCACCAATTCAGCAAATACCAGAGTGTGTATGTAAGTGTTTGCAGGTCTAAATATGCAAGTGGTCTTGATCTTCTTAAGCTGCTCCACACTGCTGACTCCAAAGGCTGATGTGAGAACCTGCACACAGTTTGCACATCAAGATTTTTACAAGTTTTGTGTAATGAGAGCTTCCTCACTGTGTTGATTGAGCATCGTCTTCCACTCACTACTTCTCAGCCTGTTCAATAGATTTACTGCTACTGAGCACCCTCAGCAGATGCTGAATGTCACACTGTTGGTGCAGTGGCCTCATTACTTTCTTAAGATCTTAAGCTTCCATTCTTTTAAATTTTGGCAAGTACAGGATGGTGTGTCTGACCTATTATTCCTTTCTTCTTCTGACCTGTTGATGCCTCCCAGCCATGGTTCATCATTATGGAGGCTGTTGGTGGCCCTGCCTGTGCTCTGGTGCTTCCTCTGGAGTTCAGCTTCGAAGTAATCTCACGTCACATTGCAAACTTTTTTTCAGGGCCAGGTAAAGCCTGAGGGGTCTTGTGGCTGATAATGTATGTCTTAACCGGTAATTGTAAAGTTGGGCCCTGTAATTAATTTTTCTATAAAACTCTCAACCTCAAGGTGAACTTTCTTCCATCTATTAATAATTAGCACGGGGGAAGAATACCCTTGTCTAGAGGCAGAAGACAAAAATGAGTGGGGAAGAAAGGCAATTAACTCCTTTGTGTGAATGATAGATGTTGTTCCCTTCGTGTCTGGGGTGGTGAAAAACCACATGAAACAAAACTTTGGCTGAAAGCAGCGTGGTTTTAGCCTTTAAAAGAATTGGAGTAAATAGCCCTGGGACAGGCACCACAGCCCCCACCCAGCAGATTCCTCTCATTCCAACATAAGCTCAGAGATACCTGTGTGATTCTTCATAGAAGTCTGTTTAACCCATTTGTGCTTTGGGGGTCATTGAGATGTCCTTTCCCAAACACCAGGCTCAGAAGCACGGGCGACTGCTTGGATGCTCATGTTAGCCTCTCTGAGCTGCAGCTTTGGAAAAAAGCACCAAATATCACAGTTAGAACAGTTAGGACTTCGTTGTTTGCATGAATTAAAAGCAAAACTCCTGCAATGGAGGGCTCTGTCACAGAACAGACCTTCACATGGTATTGATTATGCACTCCCGTGAGCTGGAGTTCCCTGCTGAAGGACAACGTGATGCATCCCTGTGTAAACCTGTGGGCAGCAGGGCTTGTTCTGCCAGATTCAAAGGGATGAGATTAACATCTGACAAAAGCAGACAGCGTCTGACAAACCTCAATACTGAAGATTTAAAGTCTGCTGAGCTGCTGCACACGGTAATACAGCAGTTAGTAAAGATAGCTGCCTGAAGATAGCTTTGCAAGGGGAGAAATGTGGGTTAAAGAAAAGTTAAAGATGGTTGAAGCATTTGTTGATTGGTCTGGACTCAATAAAAAAAAAATAATCAAAAAGCAATTTCAGCTGACCCTACTGAAGGCTTTTGGGGAACTCTTGGGAGGAAAGATGAAAATGCTTTTGATCCATTAACTTTCATTTGCCCTGAACTTTTTTTGACACTATCCCACTTTATTATTATTTTTTTTTTCTGAAGCAAACTCAGAAGCTGCTTCAATCTGAAATAAAAATGCCTTTCAAAACGTTGGAATAAGTTTACCTTTATCAGAACTTTCTCTCCTTTATTCCCTTTGTCTTCCTTCTGCTTGCCTCTGAGCAAGCATCGTGCTTATGAAAGGAAAAAGGCGATGCCCGTTGCTTCCACTCAGTTGCTAACGTGCTCCACTTCACCCCTTGTACAATCTTTGCTTTTTTGCTGTTTTGGCTTGATGAACTCTCCTCTTTGTGGAGTGTCTGTGCGCTGTGATTGAGGTGCAGTGGCTGTATTTTTCCTCTCTCTCAGATTTTGTCCTCAGAAACTAGCCTGTAGTGCTTAGTTGTGACTGTAATCTATCACTGAGCTCAGTATGGAGTGACAGCCTCGAAAGCCGTAGGTAGAAATGCCATTCTGCAACAAACACAAGTCTAATTCTCAACCTTCCAGTCTGGGCTGATTGTTGAATCTGGTTGCAGCAATTAGGGATGCACCCTGATTACATTTCCAAGCCTCTGATACTTGCATATCCCACAGTTAATGGGTGTGAGATGTGCTGTAATGCCATCAACCACTTTGCTGGAGATGTTTAAGTATAACTGCATTAAGTCATGATTTATTCTCACCGCTGAGCCCTGAATTTTCTTCCAGGGGATCCCAGTGTGTCTCGGCTCTGTAGGTGATAGGGATGCTGAGAGATAACAGAGCTGTCATGTGCAGTTGTGATTTGTGGGGTTGCTTTGAGGCAGGCAGCTTCACGATGGGCGTGAGTTTTGTATTTGCCTTGTTTTGTCCATTGCAAAATTCTTTGGCGTAACGCCTTTCACCTTGTCTCCAAACGAATGTTTTTCCTCTGCGTCCCATTGGGTGACTCAGGTCAAAGGCATCTTATTTAGTGCAGTATGTTCCTTGCTTTTTGCTTCTGCCAGATGTGTGCGAGCTCTAGGAGGAAAACAGGAATGGAGGCAAGTGTTACGTGTGGCTTTATTACTTGTAGCAGTAGGCATTTTCTTGCTGACTCCCATACAGTGAATTTAAACCCTCTGAAAAGAGTGTTTTGTTTCTTCTTTTTTTTCCCCACATTTCAGAGACCTGTCTGTAATTCGTAGCTCACCAGGGTCTGCAGGTCAGAGGCTGAAAAGTGCTGCATCAAAGGGGCTGAGTGTTGGAGATGTGGCTGAGATGGAAATGAAGGTCTAAAGTCCCAAACTGGAAACCACCCAGGCCTCCTTGCTCAACTCCCTCCTGATGCTGTGAGTACCTCTTTTCAACCTGCTTGATCCCAGAGTCTTTAGGGTAGCTTACAGTTCTGTCTCTGGAGTTTGTTTAAAGACTGAGGTTGATCAGGATGGGGAAATCAAGCGTGTTCATGTGTCTGTTCAAATCGTCAGCTTTCCCTGTATAAATTCATGGGTTGAGACCTTTTTGTAAAGGCCAGCTGTGGTTCTATCCTTTGGCCATGGAGCTGCAGGATACCTTCACTTTCCCCCTGTAAGATCTTGTGTTGAAACCCCTGGTATGACTGTTGCTTGCAGTACTCCCTGCTCATCATCCTGGGGATCTTCCCTCTCCCTTGGCTTTAGAAAGGTGCTGCTTCTTGGCTTGGGCATTCCCTTGGGAGAGTCTAACCCATCCTATTCTCCCTACAAGGACTGTCCAAGTTCAAGGCACAGATTTCCAGCTTGGGCTCTCAACAACCAAAGCAAACCAAACTATTACATACTTCTGAAATTTTTTGGCTGTTTTGAAAACTCTCAGATATTCTGATGACGAGCCCAGAAATGCTTGGATTTTTAGCTGCTGATGATCATGGAGATATGCCAGCTTTGGGAACAGCCTGCACTGCCAGCACAACATGGGGAAAAAATGGCTGGCTGAACAGTCAAGTGCCTTCATGTAGATGTTGCTGAATACTCTGTTCTGGCCTGCTCAAAATGGTGATGTTTATCGTGTAACTCTTAATTATTGTTGATCCAGCACTTGAAATCCTGGCCCATATACAAGTCAAGCTGGCTTTATCCAATTTACTCTTTTCTGCGTGCCAGGGAGAAGGAATGCGCCTCTGGTGTGTTGAGAACACGGATTTCTGATGATACCTTGCTAAAATGCTTTTGACTGGAGCTCTGGCCTCTTGCTTCCTGGGAAACTTACTTCACTTTGCACTGACTTGCACTGAAAAATATGTGATGGCAGTTGGAAGAATTTGTACCGTGCTTTCCGTCCTGCTAACAAGCCAGATGCTTTTCCCCTGGGCAGACTTGTTTTTTTTCCCCAAACTTCAAGCTCAGACTTTTAAATGAATTCCTCCTTGTAGAATTTCTTCCATTTTGTGCTGCGTAAAGAACTGGCCGTGGGGTGAGGACTTGCAATCCACAGACGGCCTGATGTCCTGGCATCCAGAGTGTGAGTTAAGCTGGAATTGCACAGGGGGAATTTCTGTGTATTTCAGAGAATAGGATCTGCCCTAGCAGTGTATGTTGTTGAGGCACATCTGCTTTTGTCTAAACTGAAGTCTGTTCACCACACCCCTTCCTAATGGAATCATGATATTAATTGGAGCTGACAGGGAATTTCCCAACTTGGATATGCAGTGATTGATACAGGCTGAAATTTCCTGCTGAAAATATGCTGTAATACTGGAGGACTGTTGCAAAATCACGTCAGAAAAAAATAAAATACAGAACTACAAGTCTAACCTTCTTTGGCCACGTGGAAACTTGGCATCTCTTCTTATGGAGACACCCAAGGCTCCCTTACTGTAAGGTGAGAAAAGAGGGCTGCTGGTGGGTGACAACTAGAGCTGACTGCTGTCTGTGGGCACCTGGCTTTAACTTATGGTTGGAGCAAAGCGGGTGAATGCTCTGCTAAGCAATGTGCCTGAGGTCACATCAGTGCACCCACCATCAGCAATATGGAAGTAGAGGAGGATGGAGCTGAAATCAAATAGCAAGGTCGTTACAAGAAAATGGACTGAAACAGCATCCATTTCTGTCTGCTGTCTGTGACTTCTCAGCTGTCTGTGAGTAGCTGGATGGCTGCTGGGAATGGCAGGCATCTCTAGGTGTTTTCTAGGTGACAGAAGTTAGACATGGATGTTAAATGACCTGTGTGAGCAGCAAGGCTTTATTTGTATGCTGCAACACCTCTGCAGCACCAGGCATGTTCATTTGCTAACATGGTATCATGTTGGTACCAGTAGGTGCTGTAAATTGTGTATTACATGATCACTCTAGCTCTTGCCTGCTTCTTACCCATAAGAAGAGCTTTAGGAATTGCATGTATTTTGGTTATAACTGTGTTGCTGTAGTTTTCTGATATTCATAACCTGTGAGACTGACCTTTTTGCAGTTCTTTGGCCTTGACACGTGAATAGTGATGAAATCTTGGCAGCTCCTTGCTTTTCTTAGCTTTTGGAAGCTGTAAAATTACAGAGCATCGCAGGCATCTCTGAAAAGTGCATATCTTAGTTTATTCCAGCCTTGAGAATATTCTTGGACTATTTTGATAATCGGCCATTCAATGGACATGAATCCTGGGCACTCCCCACCAGTTCTATACCTTGGCTTGGCAAAGGATGCTTGTACAATGCTCAGCCGTGTCAAACCTTGAGTCTGAGTATTCCTTATCTTCCTGCAGGTAGTGATAATGATGACTTTGCAGGCCTTGTGGTTCTAAAGTTTCTTATGTGAAAATGAGTCACTGAAGTCTGGAAACGATCTCCATAATGGTTCTGGTTAGAAGCTCAAAGTGAATAATGATCTCGAGGAGATCATTGCCTTAATGGTGCTTTTTCCATGTGCTTTTCCCCTGTTTCTCCACAAGTCCTTCTCTCCACCTGTGTGTTTCTGGTTGATCTTCGACTTTCTTTTTTTGGGGCAGTCACAGTGTGGCTGTGTGCAGCTCCATTAAATTATCAAGTTGCATTTATTACTGCAGAGCAGTCTTTCTCCTGTATCGTTTCCTATCTTCTTCCTACCGAGGCTCACTCTCCCTGCCAACATACAATGGGTTTCTGCTCAAAATCCATTGGGGGACAAGATGTAAAACCTCAGCATCTATGAATGTGGCAGACTGGTTGGCTGCTGTTTGCTTTAACTCCCAGTCCGATTCACCTGAGGTCAGTACCAGAAGTTACTGAGGAATTCTGAAGAAATAATGAAGGGTGTGGAAGGAATGCAATGAGACATACCAGAGACAGAAGTTCTACTTGGGAATCCTAGGAAGGGCCTCTCTATCTCCTAGCATGGCTGTGCCTGAATGGTGAAAAGGTCTGGCTATAGCTTCCCTTGTGGCTACCTACAAAAGCAGTGCCCTGCATTTAAGTACCTTCCACTTACTAAAATCAGGTGATACATAACCCTTGCCATTAAAAAAGAAAAAAAGTAACAAACTCTGCCCTTCTTAAGACCTACTCAGGAAATTGGTCGCTTCTTCTCTTTAAATGCAATTAATTATTTACAATGCTCACTAGTTATTTATGTGTGTACCAGATTTGTGTGGGCTTGACGCTGACTGGCTGCATGTGTGTTTACAATAGCCCTTGTGTTATCCCAGACAGCAGCCTAAAAACACTTCCAAATTATTCCACATCAGAAGCAAAGAGGGTTTGGATAGGCTCCTAGGGGAAAGTCTTGAAGTGCTGCCCAAACCTCAGTCCCAGTGCTGTAAGTCAGGCACGTGGCTGATACTTTATCCACCCAACTTGGACTTTTGCAAGCTGTGGAGGGAATGGGAACTTGGGAGCAATTTTAATCAGTGATTTCTCAGAGATGGACTTCTTCCTTTCTTTTGTCATTTTTCCTTTTCTTGACATGCCTGTGTGCACTCTGCCTGTTGTTTTCTCGGAATTGATGGAAAATATAGCAAGGCTGTGCTAGAACAAAACCCCACTGTGGATGAAGAGCGACCTGTTTCCAATTTATGCCTTTTTATGCTGATTTTATGCTTCACTTGAATGCCTGTAGGTGGATGTGCACTGGGGACTTCAAACTCAATGTTGTCGTTAGGGCTTGGGCTTTGTTACTGAATGTGGGCTGGGTAAATCCAAACTGAAACAGTGCTGTCATCAGCAGCTGGTAATACTCCAGCAAATGCTCCAGGCTTCGTCCTCATAAGTGTCACGGTGGTGGTGATCAAAGCTGCAACTTCTGTGAATGGGAAATGAATTTCTGCCTAACTGCTGGGTCCTCATCTCTTGCACAGCTGTGTCTCCTGCTGCCCTGAGACTGAGCGTGGCTGGGTGTTCCACTTCTGAACTTCCGTGCTGATGCCCCAGGATGTGGAGGAACAGCTGCCATTTGGGTGAGCCAGCCCCTGAAAGCTTTGCATCCTTCCAGTAGGACAGGCCGTAAGGTAGGGCTGCCTTGTTATTTGGGGCCTGAAACCGTAATTCCCTAAGTGCAGTGCATGGACTGGCAGCAGTTGGGCAAGATTTTGTATGCACCTCTATGCTTTTCTGCCACGTAGGTATTTCACTGCAAACAAGATGTTCAGTACATAGCACTCACCCTGAACTCACAAACAAGTCAAAATCTGCAGTGATTGTCCATAGGAGCATAAGTCAGCAGTTCTGTAGGTGTCTCCAGGCTGCTATAGGTCAGAGTCAGCGGCCAAGAGTGTTGGAAAAGGATTTTTGTGTCTTGCTGGCCAACAGTGAGATTTCAGTTCTAGAAGTATCCGAGCTCTATGTGTTTTAGCTGGACTAAAGATGACGTTGTTTTCTAGAGATGTTGGCATCATTGTGGCTTAGTGCTCAGTGCCTGACCCAAGTCTGATCTCGCGTGTTGAGTTACTCAAGTAATGGCACACTGTGCTGTTGGAGTGAAGATCACTCTTAAAAAATGTTATTTAGAACCAGTACACGCATTGATTTAGGAATGCAAAATGATTTTATTACTATCTCATCTCAAAACCTTTCCCTTGACCGTCTGTTATTCTGAATTGCAAAATGTATTACAGAACCACATCTGTCATACTTTATAATGTGAGATAAGACATGCTGTGGTTGCGTGCTTGCTCGTTCTCTCTCCCTTTCCCCCTGCTCCAGAGTAAAGCAAGAATAATATATGCAGTGTCAAACCTCAAATCAGGTGCATCACGTTTTGCCCGTCTGAGCAATGGGTTGGAAGAAGAACGTGCTTTGGATTGGATGGATGGAGTGTCTCACTAGTGATTCCTTAGATAAACCTTGAACAGGGGTCACGCTCCCAAACTGGAGGAAGAGACAGGTGAAATATTTCATATCTCCTTAGCACGTGATTTTGCAGGTCTTCGTTTTGGCCACGTGGATGTTTGTAGACGTCGATAGGCATAGCCTTAAAATGTCCTTTAAAGAAACTCACTCCTCCAAATGCAGCTTGTGGCCAGGATTCTGCAAAGCGAGCTCTCACAGCAACACCAGTCAAATGATTTTGATTGCCTGCTGTGTAGCTGAGGCTCTGAGCCATTTGACCACTCAGTATGTATACATATAGGGTCACCTCAAGGAACGCTCTCTTCCTTCACCATTTCCCACATTTTTTTTTGGTAACAAACCCTGCAGGGTGTTTCCATCCCACCAGAAGGAAATGTATTTGATACTTGTGGTCGCTTTGACTCAAGGAGATGGAGCTCTGGGATGCATGTTGTTCTCTTCTCCAACTTCGTAACAGGAATTCAGCAATTCTGCAACACTGAATGACCTTAAAGAGAAAAGCAGCAATAATTGTTCTGGAGCTTGAGCCAATTCTTGTATTCATTTGGGTAACTAAGCTTTTATCACTCATGGAGTAATGATGCATTTTTAGAGTATTTCACACCTACTTGAAATCTCAGTAAAGACCATGAAAGTCCTTTGGTCGTGGCCACGTGGTATCTATTGTTGAGCAGCCTGTTAAAATGAATCAATCTAAATTAAGCGGCCAAAATTACCACTTGCTATCACTTCTCTGAATCCTTTCCCTTGGAGGCAGCCCCATGAAGTGATTAAACACTTTGCCAACTGGAGTTTGAAAAATTCTGGCAAGAATTGTGTGCAACAAGAGACGTAAGGGGCTCGATGCACTGCATTGCTCTGCTTGAATCTCAGCTGATCCCTGCTGCAAAATCCTTCGTTAGAGATCCTTCCATCTGCCCGATGAGAGCTTCTGTATTCTGGCCCTGAATTTCCTTGTTCTCTCCCCAGTGGTATTATCTTGTGAGTTCATTATTATTGCTGGCTGTAATTCACACTCCGATATGCAGTGCTTGGAGGATGCAGGCATGCAGAGCAGGGGTGCGGTACGGAAGCTTAGCCTGTGTGCTTTCAGATACACGTGCTGCTGGAGGAGGGAAGGGGGAGAAAGGAACAGCTGCTTTGTGACCTTTCCCTGCTTAAACAGCAGCAATGGCTTCATCTTTACAAGGCCCTTTTGACCTGGGCAGGCTGGATCCATCAGCAGAAGAGTGCTTCTTTGTGCCAGCTGGCTCTGCAGCCTTATTTCTCCCTGCTTTGTGTTGGTTCTTTCCACTGTCACTCTACGTTTTTGCTGGTGATGGAAGCTCATCAAGGCTGCCTTCTTCACGTCCTTGCCATAAGCCCTGACATCACCAGTCTTCTGGAGGTGCTGCCGCATACAACAATAGCTTGAGGATCTTTCAACTTGCTCATGCCACTCTAGTTTAAAAGCTGCAACACAGGAAGGCAAAGAAAGGAGAGGATTACACCAAACCAGTTGCAGAGGACACACGGCCCATACTTATGTCTTGTTGACACAGAGAGCTGCGAAATTGCTACCTGTGCTTTAAAGAGAATGCAGGCTTGCTTTCTGAAGCCCTGCCTCTGTTTGCCAGTCATATAGGATGTATTCTGCATTATCAACACATTCAGCAAGCAAGATTTTAGTTTATCACTTTGGAAAATAGAACAGTACTGCTGGAGGGATGGAACTTGTATGGGAGTTGTGCTAACCCATCACTGTGATCACTAGCTTCTCCTCCTGAGATTGTTTAGGGGAAAGCACTCAGCCTAGTGAATGCTTCTACATCAACAAGCCTACATCTCCAAGCAACAGCCCTGAGCCACTTAACATCCCAAATTTCATCTCAGCCATGCAATGCCAGAGGCTTGGTGAGAGACAAATGTGCGCCTTTCAAACGCAGTGTTTCAAATTCAGCACGCCACATATCTTGTATGGAGCTGCCTGTGCAAGCTGAGGCTGACTGTATGACAGTAGGGTTGAATTATTTAGGATTCTCTCTCAGTGCAGCACCAGATGTGGGATGGCAGAGGCAGATAGTATTTCCAATGCAGCAAGACCAGTTGCTAGCATGGCATGCCTCTATGGTAGGCTCAACCATCCCCAGCTGGTTTCCCTTTGGCACTGAAGTTCTGGCTCATAGGATTAAGCAGCACTCCACCCATAGCTCTTTTCAGCCCTTCCCTATGGCACAGAACATTTTGCTTTTCACCAGCAGCAGACTCAGTGCAAGAGGGCACTGGGCAGAAGGTGGCTTGCTTCAGGTCTGACAAATGCTATGCAAACAGCTCCTTGGGACCAAGTCACCAGCTTGGTGGCATGAGTCCCACTGTCACCTTGGGCACTGCTGGGCTTGCTCCTTCCTGGCTGTTGGAGAGCACAAGTTTCTGTGCTAGAAATTCCTGGTGTTTGTGGACTTTTGACTTAGTTATTTCTGGGAGACGTTAGCTATAGCTTGGCACCCTGCCTAATGACTTGTAGAGTATGGGTAATTCACTCTGTCTGGGGAATTCAAGGTTTCCCTCTCTTTCGTACAGTTTTATTTACAGAACCTCGTGCCAATCTAAGAGCTAATGGTGGTGCCAGTTTTCCATTAGAAAGCTGACCCTAATCCCCCCCCTTCTCACGTTATCCAAACAAACCTGGTGTGCCACATTCCTCCTGTCTGTGTTACAGTGGAGAAAGAGTCCCAGGAAAGCTTAAGTGTGATGTGAAAAGAAGCAAGATAGGAGAGAGGGGAAATCTGGAGGTGCTCAGTGTTGGGGAAAAGCTGGCATGGGGCAAGTATCCCAGTGCTGGTGTTGTCAGCAAATGCTCTAGTGAGGCTCATAAAATCACTGGGTTTTGGGGTTAGAGGCAGAGAGGTCTGAGAGTGGCTCTGTTTCTTGCCAGTGTCACATTTGGTCTCGATGGAAACCCTTCAAAATTACTTAACGTCAACCAATGCTTAAGAAGCCTCTAGAAATTTCTCCCTTCGGTCAAATGTTCTCTGAGTCTGGCGATAACTTCAGGCTTTACAAACATCCCTGAGTTTATTCTTCCCTCCAGAAGAAAATATGGATATTCACAGTTATTTCTAATCAGTTCCTGTTACGACTGATTTTTTTATTTTCACTGGAGTTTGCAGTGAGCTGAAGCCAAACTGCAAAGCCCTGGGAGCTGCTTCCCCTTGGGGACCCTCCCAGTCTCCCCACCCTTCGGTCAGGAGCAGTCTTTAAGATCCTGGAGTACGTGTGGGTCCTTTCCTTTGAGTTCACAGCTTTTGAAGAGGTGCCTTAGAAAGACTTTTTTCCTCCTCGCACATAAAAAGACGGGCTTCTCACCCACAAGTCAAGAACAGAAGACTGTAAGATACTCCAGATATCTAAGCGCAGGTATCAAAGCTGAGTTCTGAATGAAAGGGCTCCGTGCTCCTCGCTTGGCTTTCCCCATCCTCCATCGGATGAGGCTCTCTGTGCTCCATCCTCCTGCAGCCTCCACTGCCCTGCTCAGGTTCTGCTGGCACACAAATCCCTGAGATCGATGGGAGGGCACTGGATTTATGGTGATAAAGTACTGGGAAACTATTAAAACCAAAAACCTCAGCTGGAGCAAAGCAGTGAAGCATCCTCCAGCCTAAGGACCCGACCTGCAGGCACCCGTCGGTTTGACCCGCTGTGGATGGAACCCACATCCGCATGGCTTTCCCCTTGACAGATGCCCATCCCACATCCCTCGCAATGAATGGAGGATTGCAGAGTGTCTGTCAGGGCAGAATTTGCCCTGTAGTGTCAGTAACTGCTCTGACGGCCTATTTACGCTTTCATCTCCTCGCCGCTCCCGCTGATTTATGCCGTTTGCGGAGCTGAGCGATGTGGCAGCTGCAGGGAGGAAGAGATGAGAACCAGAAACCCCGCAGGCTTCCTAGGAGAGACGTGCTCTCTCGTCATAAATCTCAGTTGGAGGAGAGCCTCTGCCTGCTCTGCAGCAGGGAAGGCTTCAGCATCCGATGTCGCTCCCCGGACGCGCCGTGCCTCTTTGTTTCTCTCCCTGTGTTTTCCAGGAGCCAACAACTGTGCTAGCTCGCCCTGTCGAGGAGTACTCAGCTGTCAGCAGCTCCCACCAAGCAGCATTCCCCCTCCGTCACGCATCACAGAGCTCCCCAGGCATGGGCTGGAGCGCGTTGCCGTTACAAAGGAGCGAGGATTACAGGGAAATGTAATATCTGTCAGGCCTGAGACCGCATGGCTCTGATCAGTGCTCAGTGCCGTGCACGGGGCTGTACAAATTGCTGCCCGTGTGATGTCCTTTGCCCTCTGGATCTCGTGGTGCTGAGCTGTTCATCTCGGTGGGGGGTTTGTTTCTGCCACCGCTGTTGGATGCAGGAGCTGTTAGTCAAATTGTTCCTTGCGTTCACAGAATCGCAGAATGGCTTGGGTTGGAAGGGACCTTAAAGATCATCTAGGTCCAGTCCCTGCTATGGGCTAGTTGCCTGCATCAGGTCAGGTTGCTGGGTGCCCATTGCCCCATCCAACCTGGCTTTGAACACCTCCCACCCTCTGGGCAATCTGTACCAGTGAGGGCGATGGGTACGATGGGTTTCGGTTTGGTCACCTGGTGTCCTCCAGGGCTGTACCTAACTGTACCTAAGGGGTGGGCTGCTGTCCCTCTTCTGCTTGGATTGGCAAAGTGGTGGGATTAGGTGGGAGACCACCAAACCTATTCCTCACACCAGTTCAGAAGGGAATGAGAGGCCTCACCACGTGGGCTTTGGCAGCTGTTTGTTCAGTGTTTTAAATAAAAGGAAAGGACAGCAATTGGATGTCAGGGGGAAATTCTTTACAGAGAGAGTGGTGAAGTGCTGGAACAGGCTGCCCGGAGAGGCTGTGGATGCTCCATCCCTGGAGGTGTTCAAGGCCAGGTTGGATGGGGCCCTGGGCAGCCTGATCTGGTATTAAATGTGGAGGTTGGTGGCCCTGCATGTGGCAGAGGGGTTGGAGATTCGTGATCCTTGAGGTCTCTTCCATCCCTGGCCATTCTGTGATTCTGTGATAATGTCCTTAAAGGGAAAAAGACAGAGCTAATACCAGTTACCTATTTCTGTGACTGTTCCCTTTCCCACTGTCCTGAAAAACCTATCAAACTAAGGAGCAGTGCTTTTCTCTGAATTACAAGACTGTTTTCCCCTATGCTGTTTTCTCTGTCAGGTTACCAATTTGCTTTTCCAAAGGCAAAGCAGAACCAAGCAGAACCTCTATGGGCTGCCCAGGAGAGAGATGGTGGAGTCACCGTCCCTAAAGGTGTTCAGGAAACATTTAGATGATGTACTGAGGGACATGGTTTAATGGGAAATATTGGTGGTAGGTACACAGTTGCACTGGGTGATCTTAGCTTCTCTAACCTTGGCGACTCCATGACTCAATCTTCATGCAAGGGAGCAGGCACACAAATGAAACATGCAAATTATTTAAATTTTCACTGGGATGAAATTGGATGTGGTGGGAAAAAAAAAAAGAGTAGGTTTGTGTGTGGATACATTTTTTTTTTCCAAGCAGTCTTATGGAATGCATGGTCTGTTTTTTTGGCATCTCAGCTGGCCTGGAGAAGTGTGGGTGCCCCATCTGGAGACTCTCAAGACCAGGTTGAATGGGCCCTGGAGAGCCTGATCTGGTGGGAGGCACCCAGCCCATGACAGAGGGTTGGAACTGGGTGGGTTTTAAGATCTCTTCCAACCCAAACCATTATATGATTCCATGATCTCCTTTATTCTGGTTGATAGTCATGAGAAGTTGTGCTGGAACTGGGGTTTCACACGTGTTTCGTGCTTGGAATCGCTCTGCTCATGCAATTCAGGTATTTCTGCTTGCAGAGAAAAAAGAAAGTTGGATTTAAATGAAGCCCAAGACCTGCGCCTGGGGAGCCACGTCCCATCTCTTCGTGTGATGCCACGAGGCAGATAGAGCTCATCCATCACTCTGAGGCATGCGTCCAAGCCTTCTAATTAGTGAGCATAACCGGAGGTTTGGAGCTTAAACTGGTTCTGACCTGTATTTTTTAATTAAGGCTTTTTTTTTTTTTTAATATAACCCCTGCTTCGGGTCATCTGATAATACTAATCTGGACATAATGCCTAACCTTCTTAACCCAAGATTGTTACTTCTGCTCTTTAATGCCAGTCTTAAAGAAACATTACCCCATAAATTAGACGCCAGGTACCGAAGGGAACCAAGCCAGCTTCACATTAGAGTGCTTTTAAGGAATAATTGGATCGGCCCTGACGATCAACTCCCAGACCTTCTTGGGCCTCCCATAAAAGCACAAAATGCTTATGTTTCTCTTGTTAATGCTGCCTTGCCCGTGCTCTAGCTGCTTGCTGTAGGGTCAGAAGGGATCCCCTGACATCCAGCAAAGAGAGCATCTCCAGGTACTGTTCAAGAGAGAACTGAATGACCCGTCTGCTCTTACAGTCACCTGTCCTGCTTCTGTCTTGGAAAGCCATGGAGATATGGCTGGTTTTGGTTGCACAAGGCCTCCGAGGCATCAGATGCAGGGAGACAGAGCCCTGATGCGTGTGCATGCTCAGACATCCTTGATAAGCACTGCCTGCATAAAAGCATCGTGGAGGAGACTTTGTTCCTGTCAGCAGACGGAGCAATCGATGAAGTCAGGGGATCAACAAAACAAAACCAAGCGCTGGACGGTTTTATGAGAGACTTTTTATGGGGTTTTACTTATCCTGTGATACTCTGTGCATAGCAGAATCACACTGAGAATCGTAGGGAGAAATGCTAATTCAGGGTTTTATATATGGGAAACAGCATGCTAAGTGCATTCCTTAAGTCAGTCCAGAAACCACCTCCTGCAAAAATTCATGAGAAGCACATGAAATGCCTTGCCAAGCTTGCCTCTTTTATCTGAGAGACTTAAAATATTTTCTCTAGAGGAATGAAAGGTTGCTGGTGGGTTTGTTTGTTTGTTTGCTTGGTTATGGATAGAAATCTTTTGAAGGTGGGAAAACACCCCTGTCCATCTGGCAGAAGGGGGCAGACCCTTGGCACCGCAGGGCTGTGATCTCCTAGAGGCAACGGGGGTCCTTGATTTCAAAACCTAACTCAGACTGTGTGCCTAACAAATGACATGACCCAAGAGGCTTATTCCAGTGGTGCCAAGGACTCAGAAATGGCCTCTGTTGCTGCATTTCAGTTCTCTTTTGCTTGTGAGCAGGCTGCCAGTGCAGCAATGGAGAGTGGAGATGGCAAAATGTCACTGCAGATTGCTTCTTGCCAGCTAGTTCTCCTTGCCTTCCTAGGAGTGAGCAGCATAGAATCACCAAGGTTGGAAGAGCCCTCCAAGATCACCCAGTCCAACCCTTCACCTACCACCAATATTTCCCACTAACCCAGTTCCTCTGTACAGCATCTAAACATTTCTTGAGCACCTCCAGGGGAGGCACTGCAAAGGAGAGAAAAATTTCCACATCATCTTAAATTTAAAAAAAAAAAAAAAAAAGGGATAGAAAAGACAATTTGAATGAAAGAGCTCAAAACTCCAAATTGTTCCCACTGGTTCTTCAAAGTACAGTATTTCAAACATGCGTGGCTCAATTTACCACCTATTTGACGGCGGGAGTGTTCACAACACATTCTCTGCATTCCCTTGCCAGAAGCGCTGTAAAATCAGACTTTTTCCCCCTGTGTTTGATGCAGAGAATGGCTCACATCTGGAAAATTTACCTTACAGCTCAGCACTAAGCTCTTTGTACAGCAACTTTCCTAAAGGAGATGGGAGCCATGGCCATATCCCTGTGCATCGCTGCGGTGTGGGTGTGCAGATGAACTGCTGTATGCTTGGGGTAAGTTCAAGTTGGGGAAACAGCAGAAATGGAGAGAGATGGGCTTCTGGGCAGGCTCCAGGGGCTCTTGTAGGGGAGAACTGGTTGAACTGAATGCTGGGAGAACAACATTTAGTCGTGCTGAAGGACATATTTCTTGTGGTTGTGTATCCCCAACATGTCTAACGATGTCTGCAACCCAGTGGAAAAAGAGCCAACCAGTGACAGGGTCTGAAGGCAGAAAATGGGTATTAGGTTAGTGTTTTGTAAAGATCAGAGAGTATAGACCATCAGCATAGATGTCCAAAGGATCTTGTGCCTTTTTTGTCAGCTTTTGCTAAGTTTCTGTCTGTCATACGGCAGTGGTTTCCTCTCAAGCCTTTTGTTGTTGGACTCGATGTAGGAATTTCTGGGTGAAAAGCACAACCTGCTCTAACACAAGATGCTAGGCTGGGCGTTTCTAATGATTTCTTCCTCCTTTCCAAGCTTCAGATCAAATCTGCATTGTTTCCCACAAGTTGGGAACTGAGCCCAGAGGGTGAAATTCCATACGATTCGCCAGTTAATTTCACCCTCAGTCCTGCATGCTGCTCCGTTGTGAGGTCTTAATTGGTGCTGATGCCTTGCGTCAGCCTTGCTATGCAGAAGGAGGAATCTCTCCTACCACACACACCCCTTCTCCCATCAAGACAGTAGACATATAGACACATATATATATATAAAACTACTCTTCCCAACTTGAGTATAGTTGCTACCGTGTCTCTTGATGATATACGAGGGTGTCACGACTCGTTATGTCACTTCAGACAAAGAGAGGGAATAATAAGAGCTGATGCGACACAAAATTGAAGAAGAAGGTTCTCTGTGCACCAGAGAGCACATCTGTTTTGTGGCATAATTCAAATTAACTGGGGGGAAGGGGGGGGAGGAATTCACTGCATCTCGGGTGTCTTCTGTGGTGACATGCAGCATAGAAATGTGGTCTTGGGAAGACTTTATGAAAGCTCAGCAACCAGAGCGGTTTTAAATTGCTATTTCTGATATCAGATATTCTGATAGCAATTTCCTACACTTGACTGATTCTGCCTAATTTGCACTTGCGCTGATTGCAGTTTTATAAACAGGAATTCCCAAGCTGTGTATCTTCCTACCAAGGGAGGAGATGTTTAGCTTTTCACCTTTCTCCTGGATGCAGTTGGATTTTGGGAGCTGAAATAGCTATGTCACATCTCCTGTGTCAAAGGGTAAGAAGAAGCTCTCTAAGTACTACTTTTTCCTCCTCTTAATCATATCTCTTGTAGCTTACAAGTGTAAAGTAAGCTTTGAGCCTCTCTGAGCTTCGCAGAGATTGCAAAATCCAGCAAATCCTCCCTGCGGAAGATTATGGCAAAGAGAAATTCTCATGGCTCAATCTCCAGCAGCCCTTTTGGAGCTCTCCCATGGGCTGCCACTGTAGAAAACTGTAGATGGACCCACGGCTGGGCCTGTGGGTCTCATATTAGGCTGAATTGCTCTGGAGAGATGGATTCTCTGCCACGGGCGGCAGGATGAGCAGCAGCAAGTCGTAGTTGCTTCCTATGCCTCAGTTTCCCCAGCAATGATGTTCTTTCTTATGTGGCACTTCAAGTCTCTTCAAGTTACGGTCTCACCTGGAAATACCTCATTTGATCCTGATCACCTTAATAAGCACAGAGTAGTGTAATACCCCATCCCTGGAGGTGTTCAGGGCTGGCTTGGATGGGGCCTGATCTCATGCTTGGTCTAGAGGTTGGCAGTCCTGCCCACAGCAGGGCTTGGAACTGGATGATCTTTGAGGTCACTTCCAACCCAAGCTATTCCTTGAATCTATGTTTTACTGGCTGGTGATTTCGGTAGCAGCTAGCTGTTTCTTGCCACTCTGCACTGGGATGATCAACTGCACACGTGTTCTCCAATCTCCCAACACTTCCATGGCAAAACACTGAGAATTTTGTCTGTTCTCACTTTTGCCAGTGGTTCTAACAATTCATGTCATCCTTGCTGGATGGTCTGCATGGAAATGTACCCTACAACACACAGAAATATTGTAGATAACATCCAATTTTCATCTCAACTCATGCGTGGCTTCCCTCTCCACTGCTCCTTCCAAGTTCCCAGTACTTGGGGCTGGGAGGCAGCTGGAGGCAATCTCTGCTTTAACAAAGTGGAGATTTCCCCTTTTTATCAGCCTTGCTCTATCCTGCTCTCCCTCTGTTTATCTAATGCTGGCTTCAGCGCTTCTTGGACTCTGATTTAACTCACTAACCTGGCAAAGAGGCATCCAACAAAAACACCAAATGCTTTTCTGCTGGGTGCTTGAGTTAAAACAGCTCCCATCTCTGGAACCTGTTGCTACTCACATTGTTGGCAGAATTCCTGCCTGCTTCCAATGGGAGCAGACCCAGAGTAGGACCCACAGAGTGTGTCCCTCTGCCCAGAGAGAGGGCCACCCCAAATGGCCTCCTGTGATGCCACAGCCACACAGGAGCCTGCTTGGGGCAAGCCCTTCTAAGCCCACATCTGTCCCTGGTCATTTCTCTCACTCAGCCTCCTTTCCGCTGTGATTCTTGCTCTTCTATTCCTGTTTTTTGGGATTAGGCAATGTGAGGCCACTCTGCCTTGGGCTTGCAGCCATAAGCACCTGGACCAGCATGTTGAGCTTTAGGGTATTCTTCACAACATGTGGCTTAAAGGCAGATTTATGTCAATAGCAGCCAAGCAGTGCTCAGTTTCACAAAAACACAGGTTCTTCCCCCAGTGCTGAGAGACGAGGAAGGCTGAGCTGCTCAGCCACACCTCTCCTGGCCATCCCAAATCCCTTCCAGTGAAACCCACACCCCTCCACCTTGTGTGGCTGGATTTAATGAAAAGCCTTTTGAAGTTACAAGCTGAACTTTGATCGGAACAGGAATGCATCCAACTCCACCTTCAGCCCATCTAGAAACAGATTCGTTGTTGAACTACCATGCATATAGATGGTGACGTTTCTTTCATCCCATGGAACAACACCCCAAAATCTCGCATATGATGCTCAAAGCATGGGGAATGTCTCTGGTGGCTAGGTCTATAGCTCTCTGCTGAACCTCCTAAGGGCTTTTCCTAAGCGTGGAAGGAACTAATCATCAGGCTGTTCTGGATTGCTTTTCCTCTCTGCTGGTTGTCAGAGGGTTTGAATGGGGTGCCACTCCAATCAGACTGGGAAAAATTGTCTCGCTGCATGTGCAGTCTCTGTTGGATGGCTGGATGCAGAGGAAGTGCTCTTCACATGGCACAGAACGAGGGTTGAATGGATGTAATGTGTTGGCAGTGAAAGGGCTTTGCGTGTGGGTGTGCAAACTGGTGTCAAGTGGAGCTGGTTAGAGAAAGGACTCTGCTTCCCTTTTGGATGAGAGTGCATATAGAGGGCCCCCTCCTCTCCAAGAAGAAAGGGGAGGAAGATCAGCAGTGAACACGTAGGTTTTCTTTTCCCAAGGGGCTTTCCTGGATGGAGTATTTCAGTTTCACCTTTTCCTGATGGCTGCAGGAAGTGAGTTTAACAGACTCCCATGGCTTGGCTATTCAAGTTTTCCAACAGAAATACTTAACTTTTTTCAAAATGACCTTCCCCCTTAAACAAAGTGGAAATCATCTGGGGAAAGATTTTGATTTTATGCTTTTTAAGCTGGAGAAATTCTCCTTCAGAACCTTTCAGCTTGCACAGCAGGTATGCTCTCACCACCTCTGTGGGGTGTTTTGCAGTGCCCCTGAGCATGGCTCACCCCAGATACTTTACTTTAGGCTGGCTAGTTTATGAGAGCAAATATACAGCAAACAAACAAACAAAAAACTCTCTAGACTGCAGCATCCACCCTGTTTCTGGTGTATATACTTTATGCCAAAGTCTTGGGACACATCCCAGTGTAATTTCTCTCTCCTCTGGGCTCTTGTGTGGAAATCTATAAAAGTGGTAGAGAAAAAACAGTCTTACAGGCAAAATGGTTGTGACAGAAGCTACCATGTTGTTTAAATAATCTTCTGGTCTGTACCTCTTAACAGGCCAGCCAACCTGAGTTTGTTGTGATGATGCTATTGGGTTGAAAGGAGGGTGGGTCTCAGGCTAGGATCAGTAGAGTCAGCTACAGAGGGGTGCCATAAATACAGATGTTGTGTTTATCCCTACACCTCTGCCTCCAAGCAGTCTGGAACAGAAACAGAAAGCTCCAAGTATCGTGCTTGGTCAAACTCCCTTCTTTGGGGTAATGGAAAGAAGAAGGAGGGCTTGTGGGAATTGGTTCCTATGAAAATGGCACATGTTTCTCATTCGGCAGAAGCCCAATGTAAGTACAACTGCTAGACTTTTTACAATAGGAATTTGTTCAGTATGTATGATTCACAGTTCAGATTGCTGCTCAGCTCCAGCAGGGGTTTCTGAGCAGTCGTTCTGAGGGCTGTCACGCATGGCTTGATGTGGAGGAAGGGTGTGCTTCCATGTGGCTTGGCACTGCCTTCCCAAAGGAATATGCCAGAGCAGGGGAAGATGTTTGATATCGATCTTTTCCTGCAGTCATGAGGATCTAATCTCCCAAGGGAGTGGTTGGGCTGGAAGTCAAACTCCGATAGCTCCGTGCTTTGCAGGGTGTAACGCGTACCCACCTCCATTAATCTAATCTCTCTTCCTCTGGCTGCTGGCCATCCCTTTTCCCTGCCATGCAGCACCAGATGCTGCACACTGGGATGCTGGGTTACTCCAGTTGCTGAGACATGCCCCTGGTTGAATCATTCCATCTTGGTCACTTGGTCACATCTATTTTCCTCTCTTGGCGGTGAGCCTGTCCCTAGCCTGGTGTTTCCAGATAGATTGGTGACTTTCTTCAACCATCTGAAGTCAAGGGATCATCCCATCAAAGCGTGTCCTCTCTGTGTGGCTTCTGTTTGGCACTCACCTCCCCTTTGGCTTGGCTGGAGGAGCAGATGTTAGAGATCTCGCCTGGCAGGGAGGAAGGGGGAAACTGCTTTCTAAACAAAATCCTCCCTTGTGTCTTGTAGCTTCCTGAAACTGCTCATTTGTGTACTATAGATATTTATGTGTCCCCTCCTGATGTGTATGTGTACATCTATAAATATACGTGTGGGTAAGCAGATGTATACATACAGTGCTTTGCTCTTGTGTGAGCGTATGGTTGGTTCAACTATAACAGCAGTGCTGGGGTGAGAAAATGCATCTCTATTAGAGCTTAGCCTTGCAAGTATCACAAATTTTTGATGTTAAAATACGAGAGGGTGGTGAGGCCCTGGCCCTAATGCCCAAGGAGCTGTGAGTGCCCCATCCCTGGAGGTGTTCAGGGCCCTGAGCAATCAGATCTAGTGCTTGATCTAATGGTTGGAAACCCTTTCCATGGCAGGGATGTTGGAACGAAATGATCTTTGAGGTCTCTTCCAACCTAAGCCATTCTGTGATTTAGCAGGGATCGAAGGCTGGGATGGCATTTGGGTGGGAGAAAATAGGTTCTACACACCAACCTGACTTTATTGTCTCTTATGGCTGGCCTGTGTTTCTACAGGGCAGCAAAAGGGATGGAGCAGCACAAGGCCAAGTGTCATGGCAGGAGAAGTGGAAGAGAAAGAACTCTGACCAGCAGAGGAGCAAGAAGCTGGGTGAGAAGCTGGCACCACCTTGGTGGATCTATGGCTGTATAGCCTGTAAAAGCCTGGCTCTGCTCTTTTGGGAAAGAAAATGTAAGGTCTGGCCCAGGGATGTCAAGGCAGATGCCAAATTGAGATGTCACTGAAGGCATTTTTCACTGAGCAATCTCCCTTCCCACTGGTAAGGATGAGGCAACCTTTCCCTATCTTCCCTTTGGAGTCTCGGGTTTGCTGTTATGTTCTTTGAGGCGAGTTTGTTTGTTGCAGCTGATCTGAATATTGTGCTGCATGTGCATTCAGATCTGTATGTAGAAGCAGCGATTGCTTGCTGATCTATTTTTTCTCCTGCAAACAATTTGCTCTCTTACTTCAGTGTAAATCAGGAACGCGTTCTCCAACGTTAATAAATTCTGGGTTCATATAACCCCAGTGGAGGAAGAACTGGGCTCTGTGTGTTTATAAACAGAGAGAGAAAACATATATCTCTGCACACAGAGTTTACATTCCACGTGGGCTCTCTTGCCATGGTGTCCAATAAAAGGAGAGGTGCATTTCTCTCAGAAAGCACTGGAAACATCTGGCTGGGTGGCACCATCACCAAATCCCATATGCAGGATCCAAATGATGTCAAGCTCAAAGAAGCAGCCGTATTTATTTGGGGGTGTTTGCTAGGGACTAACAGGCTCTGTGGTTAAATAATTCAATCAAAACCAGGCGAGTGGTGCTTGAAGGCTCTTAGGAAAAAAGCCTTGAAGGGCTGGAACTTGTTAATTAATTCTGAAGGTTTTTAGCACCCTTTTTTCATCATGGCTGTCTGTTTGCAGTTGTTATCCCATGCTATTCTTAACTGGCTTGGAAGAATATTCACCAGGATCCTGGCAGAGCGAGGTTCAGATAAACGATTTTGGTCTTTAAATATTACTGTTATGTGCTCTTCCAGTTCCCATTCCCTCATTAGGTGTCCAAGCTGCCAGTGCTGCCTGTTAAACACAGTGTCTGGTCAGTCTGTATCCTGGTTGGTAGTTTATAGACAGGCTTCATCTTAGCAGTGGTTACAAGCTGGCTGGAGATGGGGAAAGGGAGAAAACAGACAAAAAGCCATAAATAGTTTGTGCATGCATGGAGACTATATGGTGACTTCCTCACCCAGCAGTTCTGCAAGACCCTACTGCTTGTGAATGGGGCTATGCTGACTAGAAGCTTTTGGGACTTCACTGATTTACTGTTTTAGTAACCGAGCTGATTCATACATCGTTAATTCTTGCTGGTTTCACAAATGCACATCTTTCACTTCTGTACTAAAAGGGTCACTCAAACTGCAAACATTAGCACAACTATTTCAAATAGATCTTCTCAGAAGAGACTGGGCTCAGGGATTCCTGAAGAAAAAAAAAACATTTTAAAAAGATTTCTAAAATTTCCAAGTAATCAGAGGTTTCTAATTCACCATTTTAGGCAGTGGACCATGGTAGCTTTTCTGCATAGCAGAGCAAGATCTGTCAGCACAGTGATGGGCTGAATCTCTTGTATCTAGCAAACATCTCAGGCCTACTTGTTCCTTCCTTGCTTTTTTGCAGATCTAGAAAAACTTGAGGTTGGTCAGTGTTTTCCCTTTGCCTCAGAGGAACATTTTTCTCTGCAGTTCATAGTTAGGCTCCTGCCCTTTCTGTGACTCTTCATTACACAGTGTGGTTTTCATTGACATATTGAGGCGTCCATCTGTCCTTTCCTTGGAAATGTCCAGTGGAAGTCTATTTGACAAACAAATCAGGTGATCCTTCCTTCTTCTCTAACATCCTCAACGTTTTCTGCTTTGTTTTCTTTTGTTTCCTTTCTTTTTTAGCGAGTAGAAGACAAAGCTGTTTCTGCAGTTTGTACATCACTCCTGTACCACCACCCATAACGTCCCTGATAAATGAAACTCTGTGCTGGTTGCCTATGGTCCTGCCAGGGTGAGTGATCTGATGACTCTCTTTTATGAATCAGGACAAAGGCAAGATTTAGTGGAAGTCACCAGAATTAGGCTTCTTCCCAGATTTTACCAATAGCTGTTAAATGTACGTGAGGCCTGCTGCCGGTCATGAACCCTAAGGGCTGGGCCTTGGCTGCAAAGCTCCCAAAAGGAGGAATTTTCCCACTGCTAATCTTTTTGGCATGGAACTTGGCCTCTCTCAATGCAATTGTTATTTTTATCCATCACTGAATGCTTTACAGTGCAAACTGGGTGGTCTTTAAGATGTTGTATACAATTAACGTGGGCTGACTTGGGGAGTGGAGAGGTATTATGAGGAGGAACGTGCAAGTGTGGGACCAGCCAAATTCCTCTAAAGCTGCTGTGGCAGCGGTGCTTGCTGCTTGCACAGTTCAATGGGGAAGAGCTGGAAGGGGCCCACACCTATCTATCAGAGGCCCACATCTATCTGCCTGCTGTCTTTCCTTTTGAGAGAAAGCTGTGTGGAGCTGTCAGTCCCCGCAGGATTTGCTTCAGGTCAGCAGTTTTATTGGATTTGTCTTGTCAGAAGAGGGTCCGATGGTTTTGTCCCCGCAACCCCATGGGAGGAGCCACGGTGATGAGCATGCTGACCCAGGGGGTTAGGGCTGGATGTGGAGGTGTTTGCTCTTCACTGGGAAACACCTTTACAGGCATTGCTTTCTCCAGCCTGTTTTACAGAGGCAAACTCTAACTGAAATTTGGAGAAAACAGGAGTACTGACTAAACCCGCTTGCACTTTGCAGAGCTGACCAGGGAGGACTTCTGCAGCCAGCTGGAAGCCCATCGCAGACCATGCTTCCTCAGTAATCTGTCATCAGCAGAGCACACTGTAAGCACTTCCACTTCCCTAGGTATTTCTTTGAAAGAGAATCGACGGGGAGATTGGGTGGAAATTATCTTCAGCAAGGGATTGCTGCTTTTTCCAGCTTTTTCTTCCCCTTGCTACTGAATGCATTTTACAAACAGCTGATTAAGTTTTGTGGCATCCCGTGGCAGCTGTAAATGGTAATAGATCATTGCTTTATTTCCTTCTTCATTTCTCGAGTCTGAAAGCCTCAGCTAGTCAGCAGCAAATCAGGAGGTGCAGGCGGTTAATGAAACATGTAATTGAAAAAGAAGGGAAAAATAAAATCTCCATATGCGTGAAAAGTTACGGAAATCCCCATGCACTGAGAAATACATTTGTGACAGTTTGGAAAAATGGCTCCAGCCATTCAGTGGCTGCTCTTGGGTGGATGTGGTGGTTTTAGCAGCCATCTACAGCTTGCGCCAAGTAGTGTTGGCAGCACCAGCCTAGGGGTTGGTGCCTTGCCTGATGTGCTGAACCTTGACTCATTGTGTGGCACATCTCATCCAAGGATGAAGTCCAAATGGATGCAGCATCAACTTGGTCCTTAATTTTTAACACGTCCTCTTCTGAGAAGCTCTGTTCCACCTTTTTTTTTAAAAAAAAAAAAAACAAAAACAAAAACATGAACACTGGTATTTTGTCAGAAGGATGGCTGGCAGGAACCCAGGGCACCATCTTCATCACGCTGTGGGCTGCTGTGCACCACTGAAACAGGACTGGTCTTCTCTGTTTTTCTTTGGGGATGAGCAAGGGCTTGTATACATGCCTTGTGTCTGGATGCTCTCCCCATCCAGCAGACACTGCGAGGATGCCCTATGACCACCATCGTGCAGGGATGGAGCGTCTGAATGTTGGATGCTTGCCCACTGTGGGATGGAGACCACTAGCTTATTTGCTCTAGAGTGATGAACTGCGAGAGGCTTACAGCCCTGCAAGTTTCCACAATGCAGTATTTAGCTTTGGAGGGATCCAATTTATTCTCTCCTCTGTCCAGGACTTTAGTCTGTTTGGTTTATACTATTGTGCTGCAGGAAAGCCTAAAGGCTCCAGTGTGAGCAGAAGTGCAGATTTCTATTTCGCTGCAGAGTGGGAGGCTTAGAGGGATGAGGCAACCCCAAGAGAAGCATGGCAGTTCAGCTCTCTTTTATTAACTTGGTGTTTTTCAGTTTTCAGGGGGGAAAAATGTCAGTCTAAATAGCACTTATTCCTTCTGAAGGGTTGCCAAGCCCATTCTGTTTGTGAAACTGAAGTCCCCTCCATGTCGCCTCCCTGAATGTCCAGCCATGGGGCTGCGATGGGCACCATTAAGGTGTCCTAAGGGTCCCAGCAGTGGGAAAACAGGGATCTTTGGTCAGCCTTTTCTCTGCACCCCAACATGACCTTTAGATGTTGTACCGAGGGACGTAGTTCAGTGAGAACTGTTGATGAAAGGTAAACGGTTGGACTGGATGACCTTAGACGTCTTTTCCAACCTTGGTGATACTATGATTCTAGGACAATGCCAGAGGCCCTGTCATCCTTTTTACTGCTTCCATGGCAGGAATGTCCAGCTTACAGCTTTTAAGTAGATATATGCTTTATGCAAATGAGCAGGTGAGTTAATGCAGTGTCCTCCAAGCTGAAGCTCCAACCCAATCTGCAGCATCAGCTCTGGCAGTGGTGATTACTAGGCATGATAGCCAGGAGAAGAGCAGCTTGGGGCTCCTCTCCATGGAGGCAGAGGGGCTAACCAGGTTGAGTTGCTCTATTTGGGATGCACAAGCTGGCGTGTGCTGCCTTACTCTGCTAATGATGCTGCTTTGATCCCTGCCTATTCCCCTGCTGACCTTGAGGACTCTGCCACGCTCTCGGCTTTGTTTTGATCTTCTGCCATAAGAAAAGAAAACAAACCGATGCCTTGTGTCGGCAGCATCCCCAGTCTGAAGCTACTTAGATTAGGGATGAGAGATGGGTTTTCTGTGGCTTGTTCCAGATGCCTGCATGCTGAAGCTTTATTGGTTGTTGCTCTAAGATCTGTATCACGGCAGCTGACTAATGAGTACTCCCCATGGAGAGATATTTAATGTGAGTCCACAGGAGCTCCTTAAGAGATGTTGGTGGAGCAGTGGAATGGGGCAGTAGGTTTGGAAACAGTGGGTTGAGGAGGGGAGGTGGGATAGAGATGTCATGTTATGCCATGCTGAGCAACACAACATCATGCCAGTGGAATGATTTATAGACTACTGAGAGCTTGTGTCCACCGAGCCTGGTTAGCATCAGGATCACTGGAGACAGCAGCCCCGTCACAGCCCATCACAACATCTTGTGGCCTTACCAAGCCCATGACAATCTTACAGCCCTTTCTTGGAAGCAGTGAGAAAATGAAGTGAGTGGGGGAAGTCTCGCCCCGCAAAAAAAGGATAGTGAGGATTTAAGAGCTTTTTTGCAGCCTTAGTGTGAAACCTGTCCCTCTTACTCCTCCTTCTCCTGGTATTGCAGGCACTTGCTGGCCTGGTAAAAAAGACTCTCCCTGTAGTCTCTGTGTTGTTGTCCTTCCCCAGATACAAACTACAGTGAAATGTCCTACTGGAGCCCTCACCCAGCCCCCTCAGTGCAGCTGCATCCCCATATCAACTCCGACCACCCTTCAGATGGGTCTTAATATCGCAATGACCACGCAGCTCTTATTGTTTCTTCTACAGAAAAATGCCAAGGACCCATTACCAAAGTCACAACGGGTGGGATTACTCATTCATGGGCTTTAGATAAGCACATCAATGCTGTGTGATAGGGCACTGCTCTTCCATGGGACCGAAGGGTTTGTAGCACAAAAGCACAAAGCAGAAGCAATGTCACAGCTTTGGGCTCTGTGTTTTTCAAGTGGAGTACAGCTGCAAGAGATGAAGCTAGGAAAGTTGATCAGAAAGTTGGGGGAAGAGGATCTGGGTGGCACCTATGGGCAGATTTAGATGGCTGCAGAGTATTATAGGTGGTGATGGAAGGCTGGTCTGCAGAAGCAGGCGGTTGACTTGATTTTACTCCACTTTGGTACAAAAAAGCCCTCATGTACATATATGTGTACACATATACACCTATATAGGTGTACTTACAGGCTGTATTGGCTATTTCCATACTGATACCAATATCATAGGCATCTGTAAATATATATAAACTGCAGGAAATAGACAATGCAAAGACCATTCAGGTGGAGTTAAACTAAGCGTGGTGTAGCCTGTCGTATAATATCCTCTTACAAAAGCTAAGCATAAATCATTGTGATGAACATACTTTTACCACCTCATTCCAATCCTGAGGTTGATCTAATATTAGAAGCAGATAACTCAGCTACGTTCCATCTCCATTCTTTGGAAAGCTGTCTTTCCCCAGTCATAAATACACGGGGCCAAGTTGCATCTTCTCACTTGTGGCTGGGATCTACTCAAGGCAAATGTTGGCCTTTGGTGGTTCCACCGTCGCCAGCCATCCGTCTTCATTACTGAAAGAAAAAAGGAATATAACCAGGCGTCTGAAACCCCCCAGTAGTTGTGGGATTATTTTTGGCAGGAAATGAAAAAAATTTCCTTTTCCTTAACGTTTCTCTTTCTTTTATTTTCTCTTTTATTTTTCTCAACACCATGTAATTTCCTGACTATCTCTAATCTGAGAAGAATAATCAAAAGGAGGAGAAGGCAAGAAGGGATAGCTCCTTCCTGCAAGGAAATGATTTCCAATCCTTATTTGAATGCACTGTATCTTTGAATGCCTTCCTGACATCCTAGATGGAAGTACTATTTGGCAAAGGTCCTTGTCACAGAGATAGGGAATGAGAATGGAGGGAAAATAATGGGACTGTATGCAGACAGTCACATAAAACCCAAAGCTGGAGACTAGCTAGGGAGAGAAAGCTCTGGGGTAATTTTCCCTTTGTTTTCTTGCACGTTGATATAATCCAAATAGCGTTTTAGGTTTATTTTTTCAGATCATACCCTGGCCTTTGTGTTTGGGAGTATGATGCTCAGAGCACTCGCTCTCATGATCTGATTAATGTGGCTGGCTCGTCCCTTGAAGGCAGAATTATGGGAGTAATTAAGGCTTGCTCAGTTTGCTAGGGGGAAAGGGTTTGCAGCTTGTGTAGAATGGAGCAGGGGAAATCTTCATGTCTCAGCTCCTATACATAATCCTATTGCTTCTGCCTTCCACTGAGTCAAATTCAGGTGAGAGTGGCAAACGTTGCACGTGTTCTTTGGGAATGCAAAGCAACCTGTGCGTGAACAAAGCCCGCTGCTCAGTGACTGGCAGAGAAGCCTGCTGCACCCAGAGCATGTGCAAACACCATCCTCCAAGAACAGCGTGGGGCCATTTGCTCAGACCCTGGTTCTCATTATCATTTTTAGCCACAGAAATTCCCCCCCGCTGCAAGAGTCGTGGCGTGATCTAAAGAGAAGAAAATGCAGTACTTTCATTGAACAACAAGCCTTTTGGTCAGCGACTTGGTTCTGTTTTTAGTCAGATTTGGGGTTTTTCTCCTTTTTCTGCAGTACTTGAGAACTTCTGATGCCAATATTCAAAACTTGGCCACACTTACGATCATCGTAGTGGGAGATGATCTTCAGTGGCAAATACTCAGCTGTTCATGTAGCAGTAGGGAAACGTGAGCCCACGGTGATGTTTCTGCCATCTTCTCGTGCTGTACTGGGGGTTCCCTTCTTGGGGAGGGTGGAAGCATCCCAAGCCACAGCACACTGAGAACAGAGGGACAAGATGAAATGCCTTTGATAGCATGAGCGTAAATAGCTCTTGAATCAGCTGCCCTGGGGGCTGGAGACTGCTCCATCACTTGGGATCACTTGGCTCCATGCTTGATGTGCAATTCCAAAGGTAATTGCTAGGTTGGGGCCTGTTTATGGGCTTCTCTGTGTGCCTTTGCACGGTGGGGGAATGAATTCTCCATGAGGCAGGGGTCACTGGGTGAGTCCACAAAGAAGGTCTCATGAGGACAGGGGGCTCGGAGAGGTGCAGGGGCATCAGACCCCTACCTCCATCATGAGAGCCAGGAGGGAAATGAGGGCTTTATCCTGCTTCCCCAGTGCTGCTGCAGAAATCCTGATTTTCAGAAACATGTGGCTCCCTTTTGGCCTTGCAACATGCAAATCTAAGAGCTCACCACATGAAAATACTCCTTCAAGTGCTCATTTCATGTTCTGGTTTATCCTGTCCAAGCATACCTCAGTCCCAGCAGCATCCAAAACTCACTCTCTCCTTGAGATCGCATCAAGCGTGGGTCCTTGGGAGATGAATGTTTGGAGTGAGGAGGCAAGTTGGTTCTGTTCCTGCTTATTTTGCTTGCTGTCCAAACCAGTAATAGGTTAAAGATGTCCTGCTGATTAGCCATAACATCCCAGCAGCCTAATTTGCTCAGTCACAGTTGGGGTCCTGGGGTGCTAAGGAAAGAAGACACCAACCCTGCTAAAGGGGAGGAGGAAGAGAGTCTTCCAGTCTGAGAAAGAGGGTGTCAACATTCAAGTGGCCTTAAAAAATGGACTCGGGACTGGTGGCCCTATCTATTGAGGGAGAGGTGGCTGGAAAAAAAAAAAACACAGGTGGAAAAGACACATGTCAGAGCAGACCTGCTCAATATCCATCTGTGGATACATATACATGGATGTAAAAAATTATGTGTGTGTATAAATATTACACATTTGCATGAGGAAGCTTGTCTAGAACCACAGCGTGCAACTTTTCTCTGTCAGTGGGCTTCCCACCAAGCTGGGCTTACACATGGGGACCAGATGTGGCCATCCCAAAAGATCCATTCACTTCTATACTCCCTCTTTCATTTCTGTTGCTTAAGTACAGCGTGAGACCTATGGGCCAACAATCCATCTGAGGCCAAGTGGAAACCAGGATTGATTGCTTACAATGCCATAAATAGCTAAATCACCACTTTCAATAGCAAATAGGGATAGTTGAGTTAGGAGTGAACTCTCCAAGCAGCTTGTAGACATTCCATTTCCTTGTTTTAACATCTACGTGTGCTTTTTTTTCCCCTGCTCCTCGCTTCTCTTGGTGGGAGGTGGCACATCAGCAATGCTTCCCGTGAGCGGGGGGCCCACGCTGGTTATCAGAAGGGGAATGAAAAAAACATAGGACTCTTCAAAAGCAGAACTGGAGACCTCAGGCGTCATGGGAGCTGTCTATTCAATTGTTTGGGGGGACCCCCAAAAATCCCATCCCAAGATATTGGCAGTCAATGCAAGGATAGGGGGGTGTGTTGCCAGCTTAGGGCTTTTGTAATGATTTTCAAAGCTTTTATGAGCTCTCCCAGCCAGCCACCCTTCTTCTTGACTGCAGTGAAAGCCATCCAGAAAGTCAGATTCCCATCACATGGAATTAGACTTTCTAACTCTTTTGTGTGTGTGTTTGTTTGGTTTTCTTCCAGATCAGGACAAAAAGTCAAGCTTCTTTTTTTTCCACTGACTTCTGGTGAAGAGTCAGAGATGTGGAAGTGACCTTTTTGAACTGGACCTTCTGTGTTTCAGGCTCAATGCCTGCAGTGGAATTGCCAGCTCATGCCTGAACCAATGATTGAGCACCAGGTGAGGAGGCATGGCTAATCCAGGGAGCTCAGCTGCAAGCAATACACCTGAGTGTCAAAAATCACCCTCATTTAAGGGTTAGCAGTGGAGAGAGCAGAGTTTCTCTGGATAGGGATCGTGCTTCTCTTGAGCTGCTACTGGTCATCAGAAAGGGTGAGTTAATTTTCCTTCTTTATTGCTTGCTGTTGTTTCATAGTGCCTGTATCCCATTTAAAAGTACTTGCTTTCTTTTTGCCATGCGATGCCATGTGAAGTGATGTGGAGTGTGAGTGCCAGAACGAAAGGGAAGGCTGAGCTAACCAATGTGAGAAAGCTGCAGTAAAGTTCTTGGTTTCAAATTTTGGAAGGTTTACTGTCCAACTCTCTCAAAATCAAAATTGTCCTGCAAATCAAATGATTTTGTGTGAATCGCTGCTGCAAAACTGTTTTAGCATTAGGGATTTTTTGCCCCACAGACTGTCCCATCTGTTTGGCTCTTCTTAGGCCATATGCAGAGTTAAGGATCTGGTGCTGGGAACGTTCCCTTCTTGAGGCAGGAGGTGGGGATGAAGAATTCTCAATTGAAATTCTCATTATTCCTCATGCTTGTAACCGTGCTGCTGCTCTTCCTTCAACTCGCTCTGTTAAGGGAAGCAGCCCCTGAATGAAGGGGAAGGTGGCACAGGTGTGACAGGGTGCTAAGTTCAGCCACAGCACCTGAGTGCTGGGTATATTTTGGCATTTGCAGAGAGGTAGCAAAGTGGTGTGAGCTCAGCAGCACGAGTCCTGCTGCAGAGAGCCATCCCCAAGCTCTGCAGCCACTCCATAGATAGGTTGGACGTTTGGTGTCGTAATTCCAGCAGTGCTCAGCGTTGGCTCAGCTCTGCTTTATTCAAAGTCAGCAGGAACTGCTGACTGCAAGCCAGCATGGCTCTTACAGCCCTTTTCTCTCACTAATTACTTCTGGCTGCCGTGGAAGCCCTGAGGACTTCAAAAGGACGACACTGGATTTGCACAAACTATCTCTCTGGATCTTCCATCCCTGTTTCTCAGCCCTTGGTGGTCCATAAGGCTTCAGAAGGGGACCCACTAAACAACTGCAGAAAACATTAGAACTTCTTGCACGTTCCCACAAATGCGCATTCCCACACACACAAAGGCAAGGAAAATGGAGAGAAATCAAAGGGCAAGAGGAACAATAGAAACACAGCTTTTTTTTGTTTTTTAACTCTTTTTTTTTTTTTCTTTGGGGCTGTAAATGAAGAAGCATGTGCAGTAGATGGATTTATTCATTTATTTTTTTTGCTCTCCAGAAGGTGAAGCAGTTCTTGAATAAAATGAGTAGAGGAGCACAGCCTGCCCTGCACCAGCAACACCAGGGGATGCAGCAGAGGTTGTCGAAATGCTTGGGCACCATTGGATGTGCTTAGTAATGTGCAGGACTGGAAATCGCTCCAAGCAGACTTCGTGTTGCTTAAAGCTATTAACTCATCTTCAGAGAACTTTGTACGTGTCACACCTGAGTGATTGCATCGCTGGCACTTAGCCACTCTGTTCCTGGGGCCCCACTCTGAAGCAAAGCAGAGATGGGCTGCCTTGGCTTTGCTGGGGAGGTGCTCTGTATCCCGTTGGGAAACACAGCACCAAAACCACAGCAAGAATAATGGAATCACAGAATCATTCTGGTTGGAGAAGACCTCACAGATCCCCAAGTCCAACCCCACCCCAGCCCACCATGCCCACTGCTTACATCCCTCAGTGCCACATCTCCACAGATCTGGAACACCTCCAGGGATGGTGACTCTACCACCCTTATGGGCAGCTGTTTGACCAGTGCTTGACCAAACCTTTTGGGCCCTATGTGACCCTCAGCCCTGTACTCAGAGAGAGCAGGGTGATGACAGCATTGTGATTAGGCAGAGGGGATGTTGTACCTGCTGTATGGGCTGTGCAGAGGGGCCCCGTGTAGATAATGGAGACTTTGTTTTTCGTTTGTAGGGCATTGCTCACCTTCTCTGTGCTTCTTTGAGAGTAAAATGGGTATAATTAACCCTTTCCAATGTGGAGATGCATTATGTGCATCTTTTCTATAAAGCAGAGAAGTTTTATAGGCAGTCAGCGAGCTGATGGGACAAAGCAAACAAATGGCAGCATCAGATTTCAGATAAATTCAAGAGATTTCAGCCAGACTGGATACTGGGGTTTGCTCTATTTGCTCCACTCCCAATTTTCTTCCCTTTCATTGAATGGAAAAACTGAATTTTCCACTAAGCCATTAAGAAAGCAGAGGTTTCACAACAGTCAGGCTGATTTGACCACGCTCATTCGAACGGGCTTTTAGTAACCTTCAGAGACTGGCAATTCGGGTGGTAAACCCTCTTTATGACCTGTTATTACCCGTGCTCTGCTCAGAGGCAGCAGAACTCATTACGGGCGTAAATGGCCAGAGTGCTCCTGCATACCAGCACAGGCTGCCTTTAATGATCTCCCTTTTCCTGCTTCTCCCTGATAAAAATACCTTACTGGTAAAAAACAGAGACCACAGAGCTAGCTGCCAGTTCTTCTCGTGGCTCCTGTTCCTGAGGTTTTATTTCCCTGCACTTAGTTTTTAGGAAGTCGGCCAGCGTGGCACACTTTTGTGTTTTTTATTTAACTGCACGTTAAATGCTCCCCTTTGCCCCAAGTTTTATTAGGGAGAAGTTTAAGAGAGCCTTGCAAAGGAAGGAAAACAACAGGATCAGCCCTGTTACTGCAGCCCGCTTCTCCGGACTTGATATAACTCTGTCCATCTCAGTTTGCATAGGGCATGGGAGCAGTAGGACCTTCCTCCAGTAGAAAATGAGGGAGAAACTAAGGTAGAAAGGGATGTCATTTTGTTATTCCAGCCCTCAGACTCACCGCTGGTGGAGCGTATGTGTGAGCTGATCACCGCTGGTAATGAAGATCCTCAACAGCTGCACACAACCTCTCACTATTAGAAATTTACACTCTATTAGAAGATGTTTGATATCTCTACCAAGGGCCACAGAGCTCTCTCAGCCTCGCAGTGTCACTCCAGAGAAGCTCAAGAAACTTGTCCCAAGGAGGACAGTGTTACGCCTGGGACAAAGTGATGTGATTTGTCTGGTGCTGTAGGAAAACCTCAAAATCTGTTTCCCTTTGGGGTATGTCTCCACATCTACCTGTGCTGGAGTTTCTCAGCAGAAGCAAAAGTTGCAGAAGTTGCATGTAGTCAATACCGAGAGCACCATCTGGTGGGCTGCAGGGCTGGATAACACACAGCTGGGGACAGGTTTTGGGACAAAGAACTGCCAAGATGAGCATCAGGTGGGGGTCATCAAGGAGCTGAGATCACCTGGTCTGGCTTCTCCCAGACAGCAAGTGGCAGCCTCAGGGAGAAGGTTGAGAAAGAAGCCCGTGGTGTGGTTTAGCAAAGCAAGGTTTTGTCTTCAGACAGATGGAGCTTAATGTGCTCCAAGAACCACGTGCCAGGTTTCCCCCAGAAATGCCTGGAGGAATCCATACATTTGCTCTACTGATCACAGATTTAGAATGCAACTTTAAAGAAGTAGACAAACCCAGTGCATGCCATGGGCTGTTTTTAAACATCAGTCTTTTTATGGACCCTTTGGCGTAACCTTGGAATGCTCAAGTGCTTTAGAGTTGGAAGCATCATTTCAGGTATCATGTGGCTTTGCTTGGCAGCCTGGGTTTTCCCCAGGATGATGATCCTCCTTTAACCTGTATGAAAGCCCACTCAGACACAATAGATATGTTCCTAAGCATTGCAGCTCTATTGGCTGCCCTGTTTGGGGGCAACGAGGGATGAAGTCCTCCAGACCTGTTTTGTGCTGTCACACTATAAATAACAGCAGGCTTTGCTCTGGCGGTCTTCCCTCCATGTGAGTTGTCAGGAAATGTCTTCTGAGGTGCTTGTGCAACCCAATGCAATCAAGGGCCTCAGCTTTGGGTGCTGCCATATGAGGGATGCAGTAGCAATGATCACCTCCTGTGGTTTAATGACCTGGATTCATCTAGGCACTGCTCATCTGCTCGTGCTTGGGTCAATGTAGAGAAGTTGGACTTTGAAAGGCCCTTCCAACTCAATTCTATAATTCTGTGTAGGTGGATCATTCAGTAATGGCAATAGCTAGTGGTATCTTATCCTCAGCATCACTGTTTTCCTTGTAAAACCCTAGAGTGAGTGCTAAAGGAAAAATCAGCAACAAGGGAGCTTGCAGCCATGCATCTCTGGATGCTTTTCTGTGGGTTCCCAGGGTGCTGGCTCCAATCTCTGCCGTGTTCTCTGCCTGTTCTCCTCTGGCTGAGGCAGCGTGGGACCCGTTCTCATGTTTTCTCAAAAGAAAAATCTCATAAGAAAACACACTGTTTTCTCATCGTTTTCATAGCATAACAGGTGGAAACATGCAAGCAATGTGGAGGGGAAAAAAAAAAAAAAAAGCCAGTGGGATGGGCCCAGCTCTGTGGTCAAAGCATCAAAAATGAGTTAATAAAAACTCTGAATGTTCTTCTGGAGTAAACACTCCCAAGGGTTCAGCTGCCAGCTGCAAACTTAGCTGCAGACATGACCAGAAGCACTTGTCAGCGGCAGCCTGGGGCAGTTTCTCCCAAAACCACCAGTTTGGTTTTAGCATGATGCTGGCACTGCTGCCCAGAGAGCTGGAGGTGCCCGAGGCCAGGTTGGATGGGGCCACGGGCAGCCTGAGCTGGTGAGTGGCCCACAGCAAGGGGTTGGAACCGGATGATTTTCGAGGTCCCTTCCAACCCAATTCTATGGTTCTATGATTCCATGAATCTAGGCTTGGTTAACACTGATGGCTGCTGACCTGTTGCACGCCCGTGCAACGCTTCCCCTTGCCGCTGCGACAAAGGAAACAAGGAGCACGACAACTCTGGGCTGTGGCTTAATGAGCCAGAATGGCAAAAATCCATCATGCAGATGAGTCTTTCCCAGTGATGTTTCCCTTCCCCCTGTGCTGCAAGCTCTGAGTCGCAGCACCTGCTTGCTTCAGCAGAAGTGATTAACACTGGGGAAGACAATACTCAGCCAGGCTTGCTTTCTTTTCCCCAAACAATACTGAAAGTCTCTCCCGAAAGTGGCGTGCTCTGTACGATTTGAATCCAAATCTCCGCATTAATAAGCGCCCCTTTGGACTCCAAGAAGTGTCTTTTGTGTGGGGCTCTCCCTGAATTTTAACAAGCACGGCTTTTTACAGGAAAGGAAAAAAAGAAAAAAATCTAGGAAGAGAAGGAGGCACACACACACACACAAAGACAAATTTCATTAGGCTCTAATCTCTGACGGGCAGCTCCTTTCTGACAAACACTCCCTTTCAGCTCACCGTGCTTGGCTGTTGTTCTGTTCCCACCCAAATGCATCCTATCCCAGGATGGCATGAAGCACGAGTTTGGGCACTCCCAGTAAATGCCACGTCCTGGCGTGAAGCGAAGAGATGCTGAAAAGGGGAAAAGCCTATTTCTTCCCTCTGAGAGGTGCAAGGTTGTTAATGAGGTGTCCCGTGTGGCACAAGCCCAGCAAATCTTTTGATTAAAACCGGCTTGAGTGGCAGAGGCTGAGTTATTTGTACTCAAGCCCTTTGAGAGATGGCAGCGGTGGTGGCTGGGAGAGGAGAAAAGGATGAGATATATCACGTGCACGAGGCTTAATTTGGCAATGTGGTTTAAGGTGATGTCAGAAAATGGGAGGGGGTTGTTAAATGATATTAGTGCTTGATTTCGTAGAAAGAGCAATGCTGGCAGGAGTAAGTGCTTTGAAATGCTGCTTTTTTGGGGAGGAGGTTGTCAAAAAGTCCCAGGTTTGAGCTTAGCTCTTTAGAGCTGGGGTTTGGCTTTCCGCTGTAGTTCCTCCCTGTTGTTTTCTGCTCCAGTTAGGCCCCTAAATCCTGTGTTTTCCCAAGGATCTGCTTTAAGGCTTTGGCTGTGAGCTCCCATACCTGCAGTCACAGCAAGGAGAGCAGAGAGGCAGGCTCTCCTTGGCTCTGGGCTTTGCATTTACTCACTGCACTGTAAGAGCTCCTGCTCTGTTGTATTCTCACTTTGATGGCTGGAAATACGAGTCCACCACAGGAATGGCAAAAAAAAAAAAAACAACAAAAAGAGCAGAAGTGTTCTTGGATGCAGAACCAAGGCAAAAGCAGCTAGAATAAATAAATTACAATGGGAGGAGGAAAACGCTCAATTCAAGCTCTCCAGCACACTGCAGGAGGAGTTTCACGTTTTTTTGGCCAGCAGCCTTCTGGAGCATTCCTGGCATAGCTGCTCCAGCCCTAGGGGCATTGGGTTGTTTTTGGGTCAGGTGGTTCCAGCGATGCCTGCAGACTTCGGAGGGGTAAATCCAGGTCGCAGTGGCTTTTACCAGATGCCATGATTTGGGGTCTGCTGGTCGATGATGAATAAGCCTTGGCTCTGAGACCCAGGTGGGACCAGCTGCCCAATGGGAGCAGCCAGGAAAGAAGAGAAGCCCCCATTTTTCTTGCCTTTGGACGTGGAGGTTGGGGTCCCCCAGTGTGTTGAGCTGGCTGGGAAATGGTTTTCATGCTCCACAAAAATGTTTTGGTTGCAGCCAGCCTGCCCAGCTCAGGTGGAATCCATGGGATGAAACGTACCCCCAGCTCCAACCCAAAATGAGAACACAATGTGCATTGAGCCTGTGCTGGGGATGCTCTGGGTGCACTGGTTTGGCAAGAGTGGAATGCAGCTGTGAGAGCTTCCCAGAGGAAACATTTTTGGAGAGGTAGAGGAGGGGAAAAAAAAATACAAAACAAAAGTAACTGGGGGAAATCTGGCAACTTCAAGTGTTTCTGAGTGGGAGCCTCTCTTGGAGTTTCATTGGCGCTGTAAATATTTGGTCACCTAAGAGATTTCCTGCACGTCATCTGTCTTCTGATTGAACGTTCTGGCTCCGTGCTGTAGCTGTTGGTGTGCATAGCCAGGTTCCCTCTGAGATCAAACAGCAGTGAAGCAGCCCCAATGCCCTCACACTTCACGCCTGCCTGAGATGGACTCTGCACAAATGAAATAAGTCAGTGACTGGGGAAGTCTTCAGGTTTGCCACATTTGTTGTAGAGTCTCCTTTGAGTGCACGTACGTGTCAAAAGTGCCAACCAAGTGTTGGCACAAGCCTTGCCTTATCCCTTCTAAAGATGCTGAACGGCTGTGAGCAGCATGAAGCTTGAAGGAGAAAGGAAAACAGCAGATACTCTGGTGATCTTTGGGTAGAGGATGGGCAGAAGGACTCTGGCAGTTGAGAGCTCATCTGGTTATTTTACATGGTGACATCATGTGT